AGAACCAGTGGCATCTACAACTGCAGAATGTGAAGAACCAGTGGCATCTACATCTGCAGAACATGAAGAACCAGTGGCATCTACACCTGCAGAACGTGAAGAACCAGTGGCATCTACAGAACATGAAGAACCAGTGGCATTTACATTTACAGAACGTGAAGAACCAGTGGCATCTACATCTGCAGAACATGAAGAACCAGTGGCATCTACATCGACAGAACATGAAGAACCAGTGGCATCTACATCTGCAGAACGTGAAGAACCAATGACATCTACATCTGCAGAACGTGAAGAACCAGTGGCATCTACACCTGCAGAACGTGAAGAACCAGTGGCATCTACATCTGCAGAACGTGAAGAACCAGTGGCATCTACAGAACATGAAGAACCAGTGGCATTTACATTTACAGAACGTGAAGAACCAGTGGCATCTACATCTGCAGAACATGAAGAACCAGTGGCATCTACATCGACAGAACATGAAGAACCAGTGGCATCTACATCTGCAGAACGTGAAGAACCAATGACATCTACATCTGCAGAACGTGAAGAACCAGTGGCATCTACACCTGCAGAACGTGAAGAACCAGTGGCATCTACATCTGCAGAACGTGAAGAACCAATGGCATCTACACCTGCAGAACGTGAAGAACCAATGGCATCTATATCTACAGAACATGAATAACCAGTGGCATCTACATCTACAGAACGTGAAGAACCAGTGGCATCTACATCTACAGAACGTGAAGAAAGTTGCATCTACAACTACAATTTTCACTTGCCCCGAAGGCAGCGAACCTGAGGTGCGGTGCCCGGCTCAGAGATGCACTCAGTAAAAGTCAAATGTTAAAAGATGTTGTTTCGAGAAGGCGCTTCAAAAGTAGGGAAAGAAGTCAGTGTCGAGAATGTGGAGGGGGGCGGGGGGGGGGGGGTTGGCGGTGTTCCAGGTGGAGGGGCCGACAACGGAGAAACGACGCGTGGCGATCGTGGTCCCGACTCTCTGTGATGTCGAGGGTACCTCCTGGGTAGAGGAGCCACGGAGAGTTCTGGGCGATGGTTTAGATGCAGGGCGTCAGGAGGTGCGAGGGGGGTGACCGAGGGGCAACCGGTCCTGGAGGCAGGACCAGAGGCAATTTGGCGACCAAAATCACGGCGAGTCTCCAACCGGGGTCCCACGCCACGTTGGCTCGGAGATGTTAACTACCTCGCCTGGTACGCAGGAGGTCGTGGGTTCGATCCCGACCCTGACGCCAAAGCCACGAGAGACGGCGAATCTCAAGGGTTGGGACCGTCGGATGGGTTAAAATAAAGCCCGTGACTCACCCGCAACGTAGTCAAGCATCCGCTTCCTCAATACCTCCTATAAAATTAAAAATAGCATCGCCACGAAACTTTCAATTCCAACCCACGACGAATTCCTCACTCGGCTCGTGTCCAAGGTCTGTCTTGGGTGGGTCGCCGTTTCAGTGAACGACAAATCGTTATTACGATGACCACGGACAGAACCCATCGGAGGAACCAACATCTCGTGACCGAGCGTCCGTGATTTAAATGTCACAGGTCAACGGAGAGGGTCGCCGTCTCCTTTTGCCTTTGGCGTCCGTCAGTTGACCGACCAGGCGAGATCCCGGCTGGAGGCAGTAGCCCCCCCCCACTCCCCCAAACAACAGCGGAGGAGCGACGCTCGCGGCGACGAGCGGAGCGCCGGGCGGGTAAAAACAAAGCGAGGAGTCGGCGTGGCACGCGGTGCGACGCCGCTTGGCACGAACCGAAACAACGGACTCGGTCTGGTGGCGGAGCGCGTTGGTGCAGAACCCGTCGCGTTGGGCTTCACCTCGTTTGTGCATCTCTGCGCAAGCCAGCCCTCTCAGAAACACCGTCCACACCCGACATCGAGCACAGAAAGGGACTGATTTGGAAAAACAAATTCGGATTTTTATTTTTTAATTTTTATTGGGTCAGGAGGGCACTGGGGAAGAACCACTGGAAATCATTCGGAACATTTGATAATTCGGGCAAGGCCAGGGAGCCAGAAGTGTCGAATTAACGAGGGTTTACTGTACGAAAGATTTGGCCCCTTGCACATAAAGTTAATGTACAGCGTCGCGGCATGCAATCGGCCTAAATGACGCGATATCAAATTAATTATAACCGGCAATGTTGTTAGTGTGGGCGAAACGCGTAGGGTGCCTCGGTGGCCAGATGTTAAGTACCTCGCCTGGTATGCAGGAAGTCGCTGGTTCAATCCTGACCCCTGCTGTATATTTGGAGTTTGCGCGTCTCTCTCTCTCACACAGTATAACAGCTGCTAGGAGATGTTAACTCCTTCGCCCGGTATGCAGGAAGCCGTGGGTTCGATCCTGACCCTGTCTGCTGTATATTTGGAGTTTGCGTGTCTCTCTCTCTCATCAGAATAACAGTTGCTAGATGTTAACTCCCTCGCCTGGTATGCAGGAAGCCGTGGGTTCGATCCTGACCCTGATACCTGCTGTATATTTGGAGTTTGCGTGTCTCTCTCTCTCACACAGTATAACAGCTGCTAGGAGATGTTAACTCCCTCGCCCGGTATGCAGGAAGTCGTGGGTTCGATCCTGACCCTGTCTGCTGTATATTTGGAGTTTGCGTGTCTCTCTCTCTCTCATCAAAATAACAGTTGCTAGGAGATGTTAACTCCCTCGCTCGGTATGCAGGAAGTCGCTGGTTCAATCCTGACCCCTGCCGTATATTTGGAGTTTGCGTGTCTCTCTCTCTCATCAGAATGAGAGTTGCTAGGAGATGTTAACTCCCTCGCCTGGTATGCAGGAAGCCGTGGGTTCGATCCTGACCCTGACACCTGCTGTATATTTGGAGTTTGCGTGTCTCTCTCTCTCACACAGTATAACAGCTGCTAGGAGATGTTAACTCCCTCGCCCGGTATGCAGGAAGTCGTGGGTTCGATCCTGACCCTGTCTGCTGTATATTTGGAGTTTGCGTGTCTCTCTCTCTCTCATCAAAATAACAGTTGCTAGGAGATGTTAACTCCATCGCTCGGTATGCAGGAAGTCGCTGGTTCAATCCTGACCCCTGCTGTATATTTGGAGTTTGCGTGTCTCTCTCTCATCAGAATAACAGTTGCTAGGAGATGTTAACTCCCTCGCCTGGTATGCAGGAAGTCGCTGGTTCAATCCTGACCCCTGCTGTATATTTGGAGTTTGAGTGTCTCTCTCACAAAAGTATAACAGCTGCTAGGAGCTGTTAACTCCATCGCCCGGTATGCAGGAAGTCATGGGTTCGATCCTGACCCCTGCTGTATATTTGGAGTTTGTCTGTCTCTCTCTCATCAGAATAACAGTTGCTAGGAGATGTTAACTCCCTCGCCTGGCATGCAGGAAGTCGTGGGTTCGATCCTGACCTCGACACCTGCTGTATATTTGGAGTTTGCGTGTCTCTCTCTCTCATCAGAATAACAGTTGCTAGGAGATGTTAACTCCCTCGCCTGTTATGCAGGAGATCGCGGGTTCGATCCTGACCTTGACACCTGCTGCATATTTGGAGTTTGCGTGTCACTCTCTCTCATCAGAATAACAGCTGCTAGATGTTAACTCCCTCGCCTGTTATGCAGGAGATCGTGGGTTCGATCCTGACCCCGACGCCTGCTGCTGCTGCTGTATATTTGGAGTTTGCGGTGCCTCTCTCCCCGTGGTCGCGTGGATTTTTCTCCGGGTTCCGACGGGTTCCCCACCCCCCCCCCCCCCCAATTTAAGAAACGCGCGTTCAAGAGAATTTCGCCACAAATGAATGTCCACGCGACGAAAAGCCCCCTTCCTTTCTCTTGCTGGGCGGCTACATCTGGTGGCCAGGTCGCGACGTAGCCCCGGTGGGGCCTTGCCTGATGACGTAAAAAAAACCCCAAAAAGTTTAGCTTACAGTTTACCGGAGTACAAACGGGACGACCAAGCGCACCGGGAGACGGACACTGGCGCTAGCGGTTAGCGCCGCGCTACGAACGGCACTTGCACCGGCAGCCTGCGAAGGCTATGCAGGGGACCTTTGTCTCTTGTGCACGTGGCCACAGAGGCCGGTGAAGATAATGGCCGCCGGCGTCGGTGAACGCGAACGGGAATCTAACTTGGGTCGTCGGGATCGTGGCGCAGTGCAGCGCTGACCCCGACGGTACCGCTCCACCCCCCCCACCCACCTCGCAAAGACACTCACGCACGCGCGCATGTACACGCACCCGTACATGCGCACACACCCACACACACACACACGTGTACAAGCACGTACACGTGTGGGTGTGTGTGGGTGAGCGCGCATGTACACGCACCCGTACATGCGCACACACCCACACACACGTGTACAAACACGTACACGTGTGTGTGTGCGTGTACAAACATGTACACGTACAGACACAAAGATAAAGATCCCCCGTATAGCCTTAACGGACTGTAGGGTCAAGTGCTGTTTGCGAGCACCTATGAATGCCGCAACGGCACACGAGGGGGTGGGTGGCCAGCACCACGCCCGGCCGCCTTTGTCTCCCCAGTGGCTTTGTTTACACACCGCATCAGGTACTCATTTGAGGCTGGGTCGACCTAGGGGAGGCCCGGGACCGGTTCAGATAATCGTCACCGATGTTGGCCGTGAGCGGGAATCGAACCCGGGTCGCCGGGTTCGTAGCGCAGCATAGCGCTAACCGCTAACGCTACCGCTGCCCGTACACACACACGCACACACACGCACGCACACGCACGCACGCACACGTACACGTACACACGCGTACACACGCGGTAAGGGAGTGAACACGCGCCAACCGCTACACTCCCCTTGCCCGTACACACACACGTACACACACGTACACACGCACGCAAGCATACACACACACGTGTACGCGTACACGTACACACGCGTGAACACCCAGACACTTCTCCACGGCCCCCCCCCCCCCCCCCCCACATGCCCCCCTTTATCCCACCCACCCTTAACCCCTCCCCTTGCCCCCACACCCCCCACACCCCCCACACCCCTCACTCCGCCATCCAGAGCTTGAAGGTGCGGTCGTAGGAGGAGGTGGCGATGAGGCTCCCGTCGGGAGACAGGTCAAGGCCCATGATGCGGCCCTCGTGTCCGGCGAGCGTGGTGAGCGGGGACCAGCCGGGGTGGGACCAGACCTTCGCCGTGTTGTCGTACGCGGCCGTCACCAGGAAGTGGCCACCCGTGGCTGCGGAGGGAGGGGGGCGGGTGGTGGTGGTGGGGGGGATGGGTCGGGGGTGGTGAGGGGTGGTGAGAGGGGTGGTGAGAGGGGGGTGGTGAGAGGGGTGGTGAGAAGGGAGTGGTGAGAGAGGGGGTGGTGAGGGGGGTGGTGAGGGAGGGGGTGGTGAGGGAGGGAGTGGTGAGAGGGGTGGTGGTGAGGGGGGTGATGAGGGGTGGTGAGAGAGGGGTGGTGAGGGAGGGGTGGTGAGGGAGGGGTGGTGAGATAGGGGTGGTGAGAAGGGAGTGGTGAGAGAGGGGGTGGTGAGAGGGATGGTGAGAGAGGTGGTGAGGGAGGGGTGGTGAGGGGTGGTGAGGGAGGGGTGGTCAGAAGGGAGTGGTGAGGAAGGGGGTGGTGATAGAGGGGTGGTGAGAGGGGGGGTGGTGAGAGATGGTGAGGGGGTGAGAGGGTGGGAGACAGTGAGAGGGCAAGGAAGGATGAGAGACGGTGGGAGGTGAGAGGCAGTGAGTTTAATCAGAGAGTGGGAAAGATGAGACGGACGAGTGATGGGAGGGTGGGAGACATAACAGGTGCACTACCGCTCCACACAACACACATACATACACAAGTACACACATGCACACAACACAACCCTCACACGCCTCTCCCACAACACAACACAACCCTCACACGCCTCACACACAACACAACCCTCACACACCTCCACCACAACACACACAACACAACCCTCACACACCTCCACCACAACACAACACACACAACACAACCCTCACACTTCTCTCCCACAACACAACACACACAACCCTCACACACCTCTTCCATAATACAACACACACACCACAACCCTCACACGCCTCCCCCACAACACACACAACCCTCACACACCTCTCCCACAACACAACACACACCACAACCCTCACACGCCTCTCCCACAACACACACAACACAACCCTCACACACCTCTCCCACAACACAACACACACAACACAACCCTCACACGCCTCTCCCACAACACAATACACACAACACAACCCTCACACACCTCTCCCACAACACACACAACACAACACTCACACACCTCTCTCACAACACAACACACACAACCCTCACACGCCTCCCCCACAACACAACACACACAACACAACCCACAACACAAACAAACACAACACAACCCTCACACACCTCTCCCACAACACAACACACACAACACAACCCACAACACACGCAACACAACCCTCACACACTTCTCCCACAACACACACACCACAACCTTCACACGCCTCACACACAACACACACAACACAACCTTCACACACCTCCCCCACAACACAACACACACAACACACCCCTCACACGCCTCTCCCACAACACAACACACACAACACAACCCTCACACGCCTCTCCCACAACACAACACACACAACACAACCCTCACACACCTCTAACACAACACACACAACACAACCCTCACACGCCTCACACACAACACAACCCTCACATGCCTCTCCCACAACACAACACACACAACACAACCCTCACACACCTCTCCCACAACACAACACAACCCTCACACGCCTCTCCCACAACACAACACACACAACACAACCCTCACACGCCTCACACACAACACAACACACACAACACAACCCTCACACGCCTCTCCCACAACACACAACACAACCCTCACACGCCTCTCCCATAACACAACACACACAACACAACCCTCACACACCTCCCCCACAACACAACACACACAACACAACCCTCACACACCTTCCCCACAACACAACACACACAACACAACCCTCACACGCCTCTCCCACAACACAACACACACAACACAACCCTCACACGCCTCTCCCACACCACAACACAACCCTCACACGCCTCTCCCACAACACAACACACAACACAACCCTCACATGCCTCTCCCACAACACAACACACACAACACAACCCTCACACACCTCCCCCACAACACAACACACACACCACAACCCTCACACGCCTCTCCCACAACACAACACACAACACAACCCTCACACGCCTCTCCCACAACACAACACACAACCCTCACACGCCTCTCCCACAACACAACACACACAACACAACCCTCACACACAACACAACACACACAACACAACCCTCACACGCCTCTCCCACAACACAACACACACAACACAACCATCACACGCCTCTCCCATAACACAACACACACAACACAACCCTCACACGCCTCACACACAACACAACACACACACCACAACCCTCACACACCTCTCCCACAACACACACAACACAACCCTCACACACCTCCCCCACAACACAACACACACACAACACAATCCTCACACACCTCCCCCACAACACACACAACACAACACAATCCTCACACGCCTCTCCCACAACCCTCACTCGCCCCGACGTGTCTCCAGGAGTCTCTCTGTCAGTTTGTTTATTAAGTTTGTCGAGCCAGCTTCGTCCGGATTGGGCAAAACCTAGCCCACTTTTCAACCCCATATCCATGCATCTCTACGAGTATGCATTTCTATGAGTCTCTATCAGAGGCTATGTGAGGTGATAGGGGTAGGAGTAGTGATAGGGGTTGGAGTCGTGATAGGGGTAGTGATAAGGGTTGGGGTAGTTATAAGGGTTGGAGTGGTGATAGGGGTTTGGCTGGTGATAGGGGTAGTGATGTTAGGGGTTTGGGTAGAGATAGGGGTAGTGAATGATTGGGGTAGTGATAGGACTAGTGAGTGATAATGGTAGTGAGCGAAACAGCTCGTGATAGGGGTAGTGATAGATAGGGGTAGTAGTAGGGGGTAGTGAGTGATACAGCTAGTGATAGGGGTAGTGAGAGATAAGGGAAGTGATAGGGGTAGGCCTGGTCGTTGCTTGAAGGGCGGCAGCAGGGAGGGGAAGCGGTAGCAGGATGATGATGATGATGGGCTCGAGAGACAGAGAGAGGGGCGGTCGACTGGGAGGGTAGAAGACCCGATGATGATGGAGGGGGGGGGGGGAACAAGTTGAGCCGACTGGTTTCTCACAAGACGACGAGGCATGTTTAAGCGAGGTGCCTGTGCGCGCGCGTTCATGAGCGCGTGAGGGAGCAAAGATAAAGATCCCCCGTGTAGCCTTTAACAGACTGTTGGGGCAAGCGCTGTGTCGCAGAACAACTATGAAGGCCGGCACGGTGCACGAGCGGGTGGGTGGGACCAGCACCGCTGTGCCCGGCCGCCTTTGTCTCCCCGGTGGCAATGGGGAAAGACTCATTTGAATGCCGAGTCGACCGAGGGGACGTGCATGACGGATTTAGATAATCGTCACTGGTGTTGGTGGCCGCGAGGGGGAATCGGACTCGGGTCGCCCGGGTTCATAATGCAGCGTGTTAAACCGCAAGTCGACCGCTCCCCACACGCACGCACACGTACCTACGTACGTAGACCATTCAACTAAGGATGCTGGATTGAAACAATGGCTTAGGCACTGGAATAGCCCATTGTGCACTGGGAATCTTGGCAACTTCGAGATCTGTAGTGGAGGATGGGGCCGGATGATTGCGGTGGGTTCATAACGGCCGTGTCGGATACCCTGAGCCGTCATCGATGCCAAGACCCTGGGTTCTAATCCAGGTTTCAGCTCCAACCACGGAGATTACACTGGGGTCTCACAGACCCGCACATGGAACCGTAGACTCAGACTCAGAGACCCATAGACTCAGACTCAGAGACCCATAGACTCATCACACAGACCCATAGACTCATCACACAGACCCATAGACTCATCACACAGAGACCCATAGACTCATCACACAGAGACCCATAGACTCCTCACACAGAGACCCATAGACTCACACAGTGACCCATAGACTCACACAGAGACCCATAGACTCACCACACAGCGATCCAGACTCACACAGTGACCCATAGACTCATCACACAGAGACCCATAGACTCATCACACAGAGACCCAGAGACTCACACAGTGACCCATAGACTCACACAGAGACCCATAGACTCACCACACAGAGACCCATAGACTCACACAGAGACCCATAGACTCACCACACAGAGACCCATAGACTCACACAGTGACCCATAGACTCACACAGAGACCCATAGACTCACCACACAGAGACCCAAAGACACACAGTGACCCATAGACTCACACAGAGACCCACAGACTCACCACACAGATACCCATAGATTCACACAGTGACCCATAGACTCACACAGAGACCCATAGACTCACCACACAGAGACTCATAGACTGACCACATGGAGACCCATAGACTCACCACACAGAGACTCATAGACTCATCACACAGACCCATAGACTATTCACACAGAGACCCATAGACTCACAAAGACCCATAGACTCACTGAGAGACCCATAGACTCACACACAGACCCATCAACTCGCAAAGAGAATGAGTTGAGATTAAAGCGACGTGTCTATGTGTGGGTGTGCACGCGCATGTACATTCCACATGGAGATTGGAGGTGCAGTGGTTAGCGCGCTGCGCTGTGAAACCGACAACCCGAGTTAAATTACCGCTCACGGCCAACAACCAGTGAAGATTAACTGAACCTGTCCGGGGTCTCCTCTAGGTTGACTCAGCCTCAAAATGAGTACCTGGGAAGACAAAGGCGGCCAGGCGTGGTGCTGGCCACCCACCCCCTCGTGTGCCGTGCCGGCCTAAACAGGTGCTCACTCACGGCACTTTCCCCAAAAGTCTGGCGAGGCTACACGGGGGATCTTTGTACGTTCCACACTCTTTGATAGCCGTACGGTTCAGGAGCCCGATGCCCAAATGTTGGGCTCTGCTGCTGCCGGCACGACCAGAGTGAGAGGGATTCAGCAGAGAGAGAGTGCCGCTGTCCTCCTCCGTTGAAGGAGCGTGCAGACCACAGTGGGTTTACCGTACGGCCCACGCATGCACGCCCACGCGTGCACACACACGTGCACGCACGTACGCACACACACGTGCACGCACGTACGCGTGCGTTCTTGTGCGTGTGCCTACGTGCGTGGGCAGCACGGTAAAACCCACAGGGTTCGTACACACACACACACACGCACGCACGCGTACACACGCGACCAGGGAGTGAACACCCAGACACTTCCCCCACGGCGCCCCCTGCCCCCTTATCCCACCTACCCTTAACCCCCCACACCCCCCTTGCCCCCACACCCTCCCCCACTCCACCATCCAAGCGTAAGGAATATACAAGCAGTAGTGATGTTCGATGGATCACTAACGGCGCGTAGCGCCAAGTGCCGTAGAAATTGGCGCCGAGGCGAACACGCCGTGCAGTACCACGCAGCGGGTCACTAGGGGCATGGTGCTGGGTGCTAGCAGAAGAGAACCAGGTGAGGCCTACCGACAGAGTAGGGGATAGCAGCCTCCTCCGCCAGCGCCGCAGGTAATTGCCACAGAGTCGGTCACTGGGGGAGTGTTGTGGGGGCGGCTGGCGGTAACTGGGGGGGGGGGGGGGGGGGCATGCGGGGACGAGTCATGGGCCGGGGTGAGGAATGTGGGCCAAAGGTGAACGAGGGGACACGGGAAGAGTAGCCGAGAAACGTCTGGAGAGTTCCCGAGGGGGGCGTGGTTAAGGGCGGAGCCATAGAGGGAACAGGTGTCAGGTGGCCTGGAACCTCGTGGAATATTCCAGAGGTGGGCGTGGCCGGGGGGCGGAGCCAGAGAGGGAACAGGTGTAAGGTGGCCTCAAACCTCGGGGAATATTCCAGAGGTGGGCGTGGCCGGGGGGCGGAGCCAGAGAGGGAACAGGTGTAAGGTGGCCTGGAACCTCGGGGAATATTCCAGAGGTGGGCGTGGCCGGGGGGCGGAGCCAGAGAGGGAACAGGTGTAAGGTGGCCTGGAACCTCGGGGAATATTCCAGAGGTGGGCGTGGCTGGGGGGCGGAGCCAGAGAGGGAACAGGTGTCAGGTGGCCTGGAACCTCGGGGAATATTCCAGACGTGGGCGTGGCCGGAGGGCGGAGCCAGAGAGGGAACAGGTGTTAGGTGGCCTCGAACCTCGTGGAATATTCCAGAGTTGGGCGTGGCCGGAGGGCGGAGCCAGAGAGGGAACAGGTGTAAGGTGGCCTGGAACCTCGGGGAATATTCCAGAGGTGGGCGTGGCCGGGGGGCGGAGCCAGAGAGGGAACAGGTGTAAGGTGGCCTGGAACCTCGGGGAATATTCCAGAGGTGGGCGTGGCTGGAGGGCGGAGCCAGAGAGGGAACAGGTGTCAGTTGGCCTGGAACCTTGGGGAATATTCCAGAGGTGGGCGTGGCCGGGGGGCGGAGCCAGGCCACGCCGAGAGGGATAAAAGGGAAGCTCCGATCGTATATCGGGGCTGTCTGCAGGTGAAGTAGAACCCAAGTGCGACGCCTCCATCTTCGACATCGTGGGTCAGGCAGCATGTTGGCTGCTCTGACCCGATTATAGTTATCCCGTGTGCGAGAGAGATAGGTGTAAATTTTGATTTAAAGCTTTCGTGACTGCAGGGATTCATATCCCTGCAGTCCTTTCGGTAAAGTCACCACGTAGAAGGGAAACAATAAAATAATAAAAATATAAAACAATAAAATTCTCACGACGTTTCGACTGCAACACAAAGCAATCATCATCAGGTGTGAAAACCACAGCAAGAAAATTTGAAAAAAGTGGCTTTTTTTGTAACCGTTAGCACCACGGAGAGCGATTTGACAGTTTGTTCAGATGGACGAGTCCATCTATGTTCGGAAAAGAGGAGGTGGGAGACCAAAATAATGGATGCGGTCCGAAAGCCACCCTAAGCGTGAACAATCAATTAAGACCCGAAATGGTTTATCAAATCCTTCCAGTGATTGCTAAGCCAGAATCCATCGTCTCGGTTGTTTCCCTTCTAACGTGACTTTACCGAAAGAACCAAGAGATAGGTGTATTGTGGTCCCGTGTGTAACGAGAGTGAGAGGTCGGTGTATTAGTCCCCGTGTGTAACGGTGTTGCATACGTGGAGAATAAACGTTGTTGCCTCCTAAAAAGTGTCTCTGAAATGGCTCACTACACAAGTATACAAAGACCCCTGTGTGCGTACGTGCGCGCGTGCGTGTGTGTGTGTGTGTGTGCGTGCGTAGGTTAAGTGCTCCCGGCCGCGTGCGTAACTCACGCTGGAAGCGCACGCGCGACACGAGGTTGTGGTGAGCCGGCACCGTGTACACGCACGCGCGCCGCCGCAGGTCCCAGATCTTGCACGTGTTGTCAGCGCTGCCCGTCGCGATGTGGTACCTGTGGGCGAGGTTGGCGGGGGGGGGGGTGAGGTGAGGTGGCAGAGGCCGGCGGTACGGAGGGGGGGTAGGGGAGGGGGTAAAAATGGCGTTTGCCGGAACAGCGAGTTGCAACATTGCACTGGGAGGGCCGTGCGGTTATCGTGGCGCTTGCTTGCATGGCGAGTACTCGCTTGACGTTGGGCGTGCACACGATAACCCCCCCCCAGCCCGACAGACCCCACTCACCCCTACTGACCCCACTCACTCCTTGTGACCAGCACTCACCCCTACTGACCAGCACTCACCCCTACTGACCACCACCACCACTCACCCCCACTGACCACCACTCACCCCCACTGACCACCACTCACCCCTCCTAACCCCACTCACCCCCACTGACCACCACTGACCACCACCACCACCACTCACCCCTACTCACTCCACTCACTCCTACTGACCACCACTCACCCCCACTGACCACCACCACTCACCCCCACCACTCACCCCCACCATCACTCACCCCCACTGACCACCACTCACCCCTACTGACCCCACCCACCCCCACTGACCACCACTCACCCCTACTGACCCCACTCACCCCCACTGACCCCACTCACCCCCACTGACCACCACCACTCACCCCCACCATCACTCACCTCCACTGACCACCACTCACCCCCACTGACCACCACTCACCCCTACTGACCACCACTCACCCCTACTGACCACCACTCACCCCTACTGACCCCACTCACCCCCACTGACCCCACCAACCCCTACTGCACATTTGGAGTTTGCATGTTCTCCCTGTGGTCGCGTAGATTTGTCTCCGGGTCTTCCAGTTTTTCCCTCCACATTTAGAATAAACATCACACGTTCACAATATTTGGCTGCTATATATGTCCACATGATGACGATAAGCCACTCGGTTGAGCTATCATTTGTGACAGACAGGTCGCTTCTGAAAGAGAGCTCTATATAGCCCGACGGGGCCTTACCTGGGAAAATAAAATAACAAAAATTGTTTAGTTTTTGTTAGTTTAGTTTAGAAGGCCGTGGGGCCTCACCCGTTGGGAGAGAAGTCGATGCTGAATATCTCCTTGAGGTGACCCTCCATGAACATGATGCAGCGGCCAGTTCGCAGGTCCCACACGCGAGCAAACGAGTCCAGGCCACTGCACGCGCACAAAGACAAAGGTACCCCACCACCCACCCCCAAACGTGTAGCCTTTAACAGGCCGCTGGGGCAAGTGCTGTTCGCGAGCAGCAGCAGCAGCAGCAGCAGCAGCAGCAGCAGCAGCAGCAGCAGCAGCAGCAGCAGCAGCAGCAGCAGCAGCAGCAGCAGCAGCAGCAGCAGCAGCAGCAGCAGCAGCAGCAGCAGCAGCAGCAAGCAGCAGCAGCAGCAGCAGCAGCAGCAGCAGCAGCAGCAGCAGCAGCAGCAGCAGCAGCAGCAGCAGCAGCAGCAGCAGCAGCAGCAGCAGCAGCAGCAGCAGCAGCAGCAGCAGCAGCAGCAGCAGCAGCAGCAGCAGCAGCAGCAGCAGCAGCAGCAGCAGCAGCAGCAGCAGCAGCAGCAGCAGCAGCAGCAGCAGCAGCAGCAGCAGCAGCAGCAGCAGCAGCAGCAGCAGCAGCAGCAGCAGCAGCAGCAGCAGCAGCAGCAGCAGCAGCAGCAGCAGCAGCAGCAGCAGCAGCAGCAGCAGCAGCAGCAGCAGCAGCAGCAGCAGCAGCAGCAGCAGCAGCAGCAGCAGCAGCAGCAGCAGCAGCAGCAGCAGCAGCAGCAGCAGCAGCAGCAGCAGCAGCAGCAGCAGCAGCAGCAGCAGCAGCAGCAGCAGCAGCAGCAGCAGCAGCAGCAGCAGCAGCAGCAGCAGCAGCAGCAGCAGCAGCAGCAGCAGCAGCAGCAGCAGCAGCAGCAGCAGCAGCAGCAGCAGCAGCAGCAGCAGCAGCAGCAGCAGCAGCAGCAGCAGCAGCAGCAGCAGCAGCAGCAGCAGCAGCAGCAGCAGCAGCAGCAGCAGCAGCAGCAGCAGCAGCAGCAGCAGCAGCAGCAGCAGCAGCAGCAGCAGCAGCAGCAGCAGCAGCAGCAGCAGCAGCAGCAGCAGCAGCAGCAGCAGCAGCAGCAGCAGCAGCAGCAGCAGCAGCAGCAGCAGCAGCAGCAGCAGCAGCAGCAGCAGCAGCAGCAGCAGCAGCAGCAGCAGCAGCAGCAGCAGCAGCAGCAGCAGCAGCAGCAGCAGCAGCAGCAGCAGCAGCAGCAGCAGCAGCAGCAGCAGCAGCAGCAGCAGCAGCAGCAGCAGCAGCAGCAGCAGCAGCAGCAGCAGCAGCAGCAGCAGCAGCAGCAGCAGCAGCAGCAGCAGCAGCAGCAGCAGCAGCAGCAGCAGCAGCAGCAGCAGCAGCAGCAGCAGCAGCAGCAGCAGCAGCAGCAGCAGCAGCAGCAGCAGCAGCAGCAGCAGCAGCAGCAGCAGCAGCAGCAGCAGCAGCAGCAGCAGCAGCAGCAGCAGCAGCAGCAGCAGCAGCAGCAGCAGCAGCAGCAGCAGCAGCAGCAGCAGCAGCAGCAGCAGCAGCAGCAGCAGCAGCAGCAGCAGCAGCAGCAGCAGCAGCAGCAGCAGCAGCAGCAGCAGCAGCAGCAGCAGCAGCAGCAGCAGCAGCAGCAGCAGCAGCAGCAGCAGCAGCAGCAGCAGCAGCAGCAGCAGCAGCAGCAGCAGCAGCAGGCAGCAGCAGCAGCAGCAGCAGCAGCAGCAGCAGCAGCAGCAGCAGCAGCAGCAGCAGCAGCAGCAGCAGCAGCAGCAGCAGCAGCAGCAGCAGCAGCAGCAGCAGCAGCAGCAGCAGCAGCAGCAGCAGCAGCAGCAGCAGCAGCAGCAGCAGCAGCAGCAGCAGCAGCAGCAGCAGCAGCAGCAGCAGCAGCAGCAGCAGCAGCAGCAGCAGCAGCAGCAGCAGCAGCAGCAGCAGCAGCAGCAGCAGCAGCAGCAGCAGCAGCAGCAGCAGCAGCAGCAGCAGCAGCAGCAGCAGCAGCAGCAGCAGCAGCAGCAGCAGCAGCAGCAGCAGCAGCAGCAGCAGCAGCAGCAGCAGCAGCAGCAGCAGCAGCAGCAGCAGCAGCAGCAGCAGCAGCAGCAGCAGCAGCAGCAGCAGCAGCAGCAGCAGCAGCAGCAGCAGCAGCAGCAGCAGCAGCAGCAGCAGCAGCAGCAGCAGCAGCAGCAGCAGCAGCAGCAGCAGCAGCTAGCAGCAGCAGCAGCAGCAGCAGCAGCAGCAGCAGCAGCAGCAGCAGCAGCAGCAGCAGCAGCAGCAAGCAGCAGCAGCAGCAGCAGCAGCAGCAGCAGCAGCAGCAGCAGCAGCAGCAGCAGCAGCAGCAGCAGCAGCAGCAGCAGCAGCAGCAGCAGCAGCAGCAGCAGCAGCAGCAGCAGCAGCAGCAGCAGCAGCAGCAGCAGCAGCAGCAGCAGCACCACCACCTACGACGCCCGCCCGGGACGCCTTTGCCTCCCACGTCGCGATGTTTACTACACACTGCGTTTGAGGCGGAGTCGACCTAGGCGAGGGCCATGGACTGGTTCAGATCGCCGGGTTCGTGGCGCGGCGTAGCGCTAACCGCTGCACCATCGCACACGCGACCACGCACGCGCGACCACGGACACACACACGAACACACACACACGTACACACACACACGAACACACACACGAACACACACACGAACACACACACGTACACACGAACACACACACGAACACACACACGAACACACACACGAACACACACACGAACACACACACGAACACACGAACACACACACGAACACACACACGAACACACACACGAACACACACACGAACACACACACGTACACACGAACACACACACGAACACACACACGAACACACACACACGAACACACACACGAACACACACACGAACACACACACGAACACACACACACGAACACACACACACGAACACACACACACGAACACACACACACGAACACACACACAAACACACACACGTACACACGCGTCTCGTGTGCACTGCGCTGTGTAGCAGCGCCGCCTGGTGGCTGCAAGGGAACGCGCAACGCCGCGGCGTGGAACGGACAATCGATTTTCAAATCCATTCATCTATTATCACGTTGCAGTGGTGAGTGAGCGGGCGGGCGGGCGGGCGGACAGGTGGGGTGAGCGAGCGAGCGGCGAGCACCTTGTCCCTGCGAGCGACCCGTCGGGGTGGAAGGCGATGTCGTACACCTCCCTGCTGTGGCCCTCCTGGTGCAGGATCTCCTCCTGAGCCTGTAGGTCCCACAGCCTCCAGGAATGGTCATAGCTGGGGCACGCGGGGACGCAGACACGGGGAGGGCGGGGGACACAAATGAGAAGACGAGAGAGAATGCGTACACACTCACACGCATGCAAAGGCAAATACCCCCTCACCCCCGTATAGCCTTAACAGACTGTTGGGGCAAGTGCTGTTAGTGGAGCAGCACCTGTGAAAGCTGGCACGGCACACGAGGGGGTGGGTGGCCAGCAACCACCCCCCGGTCACCCTTTCCGTCTCCCTCGAAAGCGATGTTTACACATCGCACCAGGTTACTAATTTGAGGCTGAGTCAACCTAGGGGCAGGCCCAGCACCGGTTCAGGAAATCGTCATCGGTGGTGTTGGCTGTGAGCGGGAATCGGGTTCGTAGCGCAGCGCCCTAACCCGCTACACCACCGCTCACATACACACTCACACACACACACCCTCACCTCACACACACACGCTCACTTCACACACACAAACACGCTCACATGCACACTCACACTCCTTCATGCACTTGCTCACACACACCCTCTCGTTCACACACTGCTTACATACACACTCACACACACACACGCTCACCTCACACACACACGCTCACCTCACACACACACGCTCACCTCACACACACACACACGCTCACATGCACACACACGCTCACATGCACACACACACACTCCTTCACACACTTGCTCACACACACACACTCTCGCTCACACCGCTCACACACACACTAGCGCTCACCTCACACACACACACACACAAACTAGCGCTCAGCCAACACACACGCGCGCTCACCTCACACAAACAAAAACACGCATACATCTAAACACAAACACACTCACACACACTCGCTCGCGAGGCCGGCCCGCCGCCATACCACGTGGTGCCGAGGAAGCGCCCCGACGGGTGATAAGCGATCCGCGCCACCCTCGCCGTGTGCCCCTCGATGTTGGCGATGGGCTCATCGCTGTCGGGACGCACGGCACACACAGGCACAGCAGGAGACACGTCTCCCGTCTGGTCTCTACCCGGCCACATAGTGTCTCCGTCAACACCGTGTCTCCGTCAACACCGTGTCTCCGTCAACACCGTGTCTCTGTCAACACCGTGTCTCTGTCAACACCGTGTCTCCGTCAACACCGTGTCTCCGTCAACACAGTGTCTCTGTCAACACCGTGTCTCTGTCAACACCGTGTCTCTGTCAACACCGTGTCTCCCGTCAACACCGTGTCTCCCGTCAACACCGTGTCTCCCGTCAACACCGTGTCTCCCGTCAACACCGTGTCTCCCGTCAACACAGTGTCTCCCGTCAACACCGTGTCTCTGTCAACACCGTGTCTCTGTCAACACCGTGTCTCTGTCAACACTGTGTCTCTGTCAACACCGTGTCTCTGTCAACACCGTGTCTCCCGTCAACACCGTGTCTCCCGTCAACACCGTGTCTCCCGTCAACACCGTGTCTCCCGTCAACACCGTGTCTCCCGTCAACACCGTGTCTCTGTCAACACAGTGTCTCTGTCAACACCGTGTCTCTGTCAACACCATGTCTCTGTCAACACCGTGTCTCCCGTCAACACCGTGTCTCCCGTCAACACCGTGTCTCTGTCAACACAGTGTCTCTGTCAACACAGTGTCTCTGTCAACACAGTGTCTCTGTCAACACCGTGTCTCTGTCAACACCGTGTCTCTGTCAACACCGTGTCTCCGTCAACACCGTGTCTCTGTCAACACCGTGTCTCTGTCAACACCGTGTCCCTGTCCACATCGTGCATCCCTGTCGAGTCTATCCGCCGAATCTTGTCTCCTCATTCTGTCTCCATCTGCGTCTCTCCGTGCGTCTCTGCGTCTCCGCGTGTCTCTCTCTCTGCATCTCCGTGTGTCTTTGCGTGTCTCTGTGTGTCCGTTTCTGTGTCTCTATCCGCGTCTCTACACGTCTCCGCGTCTCTCTCTGCGTCACCGCGTGTCTCTCCGTGTGTCTCTCTCTGCGTCACTGTGTGTCTCTCTCTGCGTCACCGCGTGTCTCGCCGTGTGTCTCTCAGTGTGTCTCTCTCTGCGTCTCCGTATGTCTCTCTCTGCATCACCGCGTGTCTCTCCGTGTGTCTCTCTGCGTCTCCGTGTGTCTCTGCGTGTCTTTATCTGCAGTCTCTGCGTATCTCTCTCTGCGTCACCGCGTGTCTCTGCGTATCTCCGCGTGTCTCTGTGTGTGTCTGTTTCTGTGTCTCTTTCTGTGTCTCTGCGTGTCTCTCTCTCCGCGTGTCTCTCTCCGTGTGTCTCTCTCCGCGTGTCTCTCTCAGCGTGTCTCTCTCCGCGTCCCCGCGTGTCCTCCCCTCTCACCTCACTAGGTTCCACAGCTTCACGGCCCCGTCTGCGCTGCAGGAAGCCATGTTGCAGTCCTTGGGGTCAAGGCTCAGAGTGGCTTGCGGGTGCCACACGATCGCCCCCACGTTCTGGTCGTGGCCTGGATCAGGAGCAAAGACAAAGGGTCCCCCGCGCAGCCTTCAACAGACCGCCGGGGCAAGTGCCGCTAGCAAGCGGCAGGAGCGTCTAGGAAGGGCGGCACGGCGCGCCGGGGGGATGGGTGGCCGGCAACGCGCACGCCCCGGCAACGCCTCCGTCTCCCCAGCGGCGACGTTGGTGGTTGTGAGCGGGATTCCAACTCGGGTGTCTTAGCCGGGTAGGCGTGTGTACACCACCTCTTTCATAAAATCCGCCAATCAAATGCTAATTTTTATGCTAATTTCTTTGTCAGAACACCATTGTTTGCTCGCACACAGGTCCGATGTCTGAGCGTGGTTGTGTTTCGCTAAATTCTCCTGTTTGATGAGCACTAGGTGCCTCGGTGAATGTATATACTCTAACTTTAACATAGCTATTTCTGTGACCAGTTACTAGCTAATCACTCAGCTATTTCAATGCTAAATTCGATGCTAATTCCTTCGTCAAAGGGGCACCTCTGCGTATGTGTATACTTTAACTTAGCTATTTCAATGAGCCATTTCAATGCAAAAATTATATGCTAATTCCTTTGTCAAGGCGCTTGGTCTTCTTTATCTTCTCACACAGCTTAAAGGTCGTGATCTGAGCGTGGCTTCTTCCACTCCAACGCTGTCCTCCAGACAGGCTCGTCCCTTCACCTGATGAAGGCCGCTTGTGTTGTGGCCGAAACGTCGTTGTGATTTTTTGTTATTTTATTTTCACCTACGTGACTTTACCCAATAGAACCAAGGAGTATGGGCGTGTGTTTGTTTGAGATGGCCATTGCGAGAGAGCCGAGGGGCACGGAGTGTCTGGCGGACAAACCTCTCAGAGTGCGGATCGGGGTGCAGTCTGGGACGGACCATAGCTTGCACAGTCCACTCCTGCAACCATCAACACCGCAATCAGCAACAGCAACCACCACCACAACAACAGCAGCCTTCATTCATTCGCCACTGAGTGGCGGTGATGTCACCACGGCGCTTGTGCCACACTAGGTGCACTTTGAGGACGCATGAAGTGTCGAAGGCTCTTGCCGGCAGGAGGTCATGGGGACAGACCCAGGTGCTGTGGGGGTTGATTGACTGAGATGACTGGCAGATTCATACGCAACACGTACAAAGGCAAAGATCCCCCGTATAGCCTTAACAGATTGTTGAGGCGAGTGCCGTTAGCGAGCACCTATAAAGGCCGGCACGGCACACGCGGGGGTGGATGGCCAACACTACCCCCGGCCGCCTTTGTCTCCCCCGTGGCAATGTTTACCCATTTGAAACTGAGTCGACCTAGGGGAGGCCTAGAACCGATTCAGATAATCGTCACTAGTGTTGGCCGTGAGCGGGAATCGAACTTGGGTCACCGGACTAGAAGCACAGTGCGCAAAACACTACGCTACCGCTCCCCACGTATACATACGTACACACACATGTCAACAGATGTCCACAAGCGCGCACACACACACGTACAGAGATGTATACACACGTACAGAGACGTATACACACGCGCGCACACACGTACAGAGACATATACACAAGTGCACACGTGCACACACGTACACACACACACACACGTACACAGACGTCCACAAGCGCGCACACACACACGTACAGAGATGTATACACACGTACAAAGATGTATACACACGTACAGAGACATACACACACGCGCACACACACGTACAGAGATGTATACACACGTGCACACGTATACACACGTACACACGCGCACACACACGTACACAAACGTACACACACGCGCACACACACACAGACGTCCACAAGCACGCACACACACACGTAGAGACGTATACACACGTACAGAGACGTATACACACGTACACACGCGCACACACACGTACACACACGCACACACACGCACACACACACGTACACACATGTGCACACACACACGTACAGAGACGTATAAACACGTACACACGCGCACACACGTACACACACGCGCACACACACACGTACACAGACGTCCACAAGCGCGCACACACACACGTAGAGACGTATACACACGTACAGAGACGTATACACACGTACAGAGACGTATACACACGTACAACAACAACAACCGCCATTCGCCACTAAGTGGCGGTGCCATCACCACGACGCTTGTGCCAGGCTATGTGCACCCTGAGGCCACGTGAAGTGTCGAACGCCCGCTGGCAGGAGGTCACGGGGCAGACCCAGGTGCCACGAGTCGACTGACCGAGATGACTGAGATGACTGGCTGATGCACCACCTGTGCCCCCTATTGTGGCAACCTGCTGTGCTTTAGCCACCCGGCGCTCCGCTCGTTGTTGCGTTGTTGTGAGCGTCGCTCCTCCACCCTCCGTTGTTGTTGGAGGGCGACTGCCTCCAACTGCCCAGTAGCGTCCTTCACGAGCCTCCTCCACAGAGGCCGATCTTGACACCGCTGGTACCAGTCATCGGCAAGTCCACTCAGCTCCACGTCCTCCTGTGCCACATCACTCCATCTCTTCTCTAGCCCGTGCCGCGCCCGCTTAGCCCCCTCAATCCGGCCGAACAAAAGCTGTTTCGGCATGCGGTGGCTGGGCATGCGGGCTACATGACCAAGCCATCGCAGCCTTCCCCGCCGGAGGAGCTCACCGATGGGACCTTGCCCAGATCTTTCAAGGATTTGTGAGCTCCTCACACAATCCAGTCTGGTTAAACCCAGGATGGATCGTAGGCAGGCCAGCCTAATGTTTCTAACCGGCGAAGATGTTCCATTAGGGGGGTCCACGTTTCGCAAGCGTAGAGAAGGGAGGGAATGACCGTGGCCGAGAAGACCTGAAGCTTAGTGCGGAGCGACAGACCAGGTAGCTTCCACACAGCGTTACGCAACCGATGAAAAGATATTGCCGCTCGACTGATTCGGAGTGAGACCTATGCTGTTAAACTGGAGCCAGTCATAAGCACACTGCCCAGGTATGGGAAACTCTCCACTCTCTCCACAACTGCCCCATCACCGATTGGGAGTTGTGGGGGTGGAGTGTCCGATGGTACAAAATACCCAGGCAGGTGCTTAGTTTTGGTGGGGCTGATGCTAAGGCCCCACCTCTTAGTGGCACACTCCAGTCTCAGCACCAGCGTCTCCAACTCCTCCTCTGAATGAGCAGCTATTACCAAATCATCAGCATACATAACGTGGTTGAGCAATAGGGAGCCCATCCCTTGACCACACCCGGGCATCGATCAGCCTCCCATTATATCTGTACCATATGGAGATTCCCCCGGTACAGCTATTGAAGGCTTCACGAACTACGTGGTCAAAATAGATGTTAAATAATGTGGGAGCCAGAGGACATCCCTGTCGCACCCCAAGGTGTACAGGGAATGGCTCTGACTCCCGGCCACGTAGTTTTACCCGGGCCCGCTCACCATCATGAAGGTCCTTAATGATCGTGAGCAGAGGGTCAGGTACTCCAAAAGCACGAAGAACAACCCAGAGCCCAGGCCTACTGATGGTATCATAGGCCTTGACCAGGTCAAGCAGTAGGTCTTGTTGGAATTCCCTACACCTCTGCTGTAGCAGACGGACAGAAAATATGGCATCTGTGCAGGACCGCCCTTTCCTGAAACCGCATTGGGGCTCCGCAAGCCTCTCCTCAGCGTGCCTGGCAAGGCGATGTTGAATAATCCTTGCCAGGACCTTTCCCGGCACACTGAGGAGAGAGATGCCCCTGTAGTTGTTACAGTCTGTGCGGTCCCCCTTCTTAAAAAGGGGGACCACCAGGGCACACGTACACACGCGCACACACGCGCACACACATGTACACACACGCGCACACACACACACACACGTACACACACACGTTCAGAGACGTATACACACGTACAGAGACGTACACCCGCGTGCATACAGACGCACGTACACACGCGAACACCCAGACACTTCTCTCTCCACCTACCCACCCGCCCACCCCCAACCACTGGGACTCACCAGGAGGCCGTGGCCAGCATCTTGGAGTTGGGGCTGAACTGGCAGAAGGAGATGGGCCGACTGTCACCGATCTGACTGCAGAAGTTACTGAGCGACTGTGGGGTGACGGGTAGCGGGAGGGTGGGCGAGAAAAAAAAAAAAGACAAATCTGAAGATCCTCCACCCCCACCGTGTAGCCTTCAACAGGCCATTGGGGCAAGTGGCGTTAGCGAGTAAGCAGAGCCTATAAAGGCCGGCACGGCAAAAGAGGTGGTGGTGGTGGTGGTGTGGCCGGCACCACACGTGCGCCGGGCAGCCTTTTGTCTCCCCGGCGCTGTTGTTTACCACACAACCGCACCGGGTATTCATTCAAGGCCGGGTCGACCTATGGGAGGAACCATGACCTGTTCAGATATTCGGTGCTACCGGTGTTGGATGGTGGAGGCGAGGGGAAGTTGAACTCGGGTCTCAGCTGGGTTCGTAGCGCAGCGCGCTAACCGCTATGCCACCGCTCCCCCACACACACACACACACGGCGATGAGGGTGATGATGATGATGAGTTTCTGCTGCCGCTGTTCAAGATGCTGGTGATGCTGGTGATGATGATGTTGCTGCTGCTGCTGCATTTGATATTGAAGATACCGATGCTGCTGTTAGTGATGCCGCTTCTTCTTTCGTACGGCAGAGCAACGACGACTACAATTTCACATTCGAGAGGTGGTCAAGCCCAGATATAACCGCGTCAGCAGGAGCAAGCGGAGCAGTAGCGTATCGTCATCGTCGCTGTGATGTCTCCTTCGTGATCGTGGATCGGGCATTGCGTCGCTATACGTTGTATGGTCCTCACGCTGCTACTGGAGAGTTTTTAATTCTCCATTTGTGCATCATCAGTTATCCGCATCTACCGCCATGGTTTGTGCAGTGGGTGATGTGGTTTAGGGGGTGGACCATGAGTTCCGCGGAAGATCAAACCCAACATCATCATCAGCTGCTAATGATGATGTTGCCGTAGCTGATATCATCGCTCACCCGAATCTGCCGATGGAGCTCCTGCCTCTTTGCGTTCCTCGCCGCCTCCGGCAGCTCCCGATTGGCTCTCGCCTCCTTCAGCCTCTGCATCGCCCTGACAAAGCAGACACAACCGACCAATCGCAACGAACCACACGAGGCGGTGGGGGGAGGGCGACCAATCAGAAAGCGTCATCGACACAACACCGGCCAATGAGAACGTGTCATTGAACACGATGGCAGCCAATCGGAGTGCGTTATCAACACATCGTTGACCTCGGCCAATCGGAAGTAGCCGCTGCGACGTCGACCAACAGGGACAGTGACACCGGTGTCTCAGCCAATCGAACGAGCCATGGGAAAGAAACTGACCAATCGAAGTGAGTGAAGAGGAGCCAATGACAAATTATAACTCACGAGAAGAATTAGGTGATCCAAGGTTAGTGAGGGTGGTTACCGTGGTAACAACTAATTCTATTACCATGGTAATGAGTTGTTAGTGAACTGGACCATGATGGTAATGTGTATTTAGCGAGGAGGACGGTTACCATAGCGATGAGCAGTTAGCGAGTGTGGTTACCATGGCAATGAGTTGTTGGTGAACTGGACTATGATGGTAATCTTCTTTGGTTCTTTCGGTAAAGTCACGTAGAATGAGAATAAAATAATAAATTGATAAAATAAAATAACACAATATTCTCACGACGTTTCGGCCACAACACAAGCGGCCTTCATCAGGTGAAGGGACGAGACTGTCTGGTAGGACAGCGCTTGCAGTCACGAAAGCTTTAAATCGAAATTTATGATGGTAATGTGTATTTAGCGAGGAGGACGGTTACCATAGCGATGAGCAGTTAGCGAGTGTGGTTACCATGGCAATGAGTTGCTAGTGAACTGGACTATGATGGTAATGTGTATTTAGCGAGGAGGGCGGTTACCATAGCGATGAGCAGCTAGCTAGTGTGGTTACCATGGCAATGAGTTGTTAGTGAACTGGACTATGATGGTAATGTGTATTTAGCGAGGAGGGCGGTTACCATAGCGATGAGCAGTTAGCTAGTGTGGTTACCATGGTAATGAGTTGCTAGTGAACTGGACTATGATGGTAATGTGTATTTGGCGAGGAGGGTGGTTACCATAGCGATGAGCATCTAGCTAGTGTGGTTACCATGGTAATGAGTTAGTGAACTGGACTATGATGGTAATGTGTATTTATCGAGGAGGGCGGTTACCATAGTGATGAGCAGTTAGCGAGTGTGGTTACCATGGTAATGAGTTGTTAGTGAACTGGACTATGATGGTGATGTGCATTTGGCGAGGAGGGCGGTTACCATAGCGATGAGCAGCTAGCGAGTGTGGTTACCATGGTAATCAGTGGTTGGCTAGCTGGGTTACCATGGTAATGAATATTTGCCGAGGAGGGGCGGCTCCCGTCGTAATGAGGAGTTAGCGAGGGTGGTCGCCGTGGTAATGAGTTGGTTAAAGCAGGGTGGTTACCGTGGTAACGAGTATTTGGCGAGCCAGATGCGGGCCTCCTTGAGAGTCTCAGGCCCCTCGTGGTACCAAGTCTCCTGCAGCTGTGGGGGACAAGGAGCAGTGGGGAGCAGATGGGTGAGTTTGGTGTGATGAGTGTAGTGTATAGTAGTGTAGTGTATAGTAGTGTAGTGTATAGTAGTGTAGTGTGTAGTAGTGCAGTGTGTAGTAGTGTAGTGTGTAGTAGTGTAGTGTGTAGTAGTGTAGTGTGTAGTAGTGTATAGTGTAGTGTATAGTAGTGTAGTGTATAGTAGTGTAGTGTGTAGTAGTGCAGTGTGTAGTAGTGTAGTGTGTAGTAGTGTAGTGTGTAGTAGTGTAGTGTGTAGTAGTGTAGTGTATAGTAGTGTAGTGTATAGTAGTGTAGTAGTGTGGTGTATAGTAGTGTAGTGTATAGTAGAGTAGTGTATAGTAGAGTAGTGTATAGTAGTGTAGTGTGTAGTAGTGCAGTGTGTAGTAGTGTAGTGCGTAGTAGTGTAGTGTGTAGTAGTGTAGTGTGTAGTAGTGTATAGTGTAGTGTATAGTAGTGTAGTGTATAGTAGTGTAGTGTGTAGTAGTGCAGTGTGTAGTAGTGTAGTGTGTAGTAGTGCAGTGTGTAGTAGTGTAGTGTGTAGTGTGTAGTAGTGTAGTGTGTAGTAGTGTATAGTGTAGTGTATAGTAGTGTAGTGTATAGTAGTGTAGTGTGTAGTAGTGCAGTGTGTAGTAGTGTAGTGTGTAGTAGTGTAGTGTGTAGTAGTGTAGTGTGTAGTAGTGTATAGTGTAGTGTATAGTAGTGTAGTGTATAGTAGTGTAGTGTGTAGTAGTGCAGTGTGTAGTAGTGTATAGTGTAGTGTATAGTAGTGTAGTGTATAGTAGTGTAGTGTGTAGTAGTGCAGTGTGTAGTAGTGTAGTGTGTAGTAGTGCAGTGTGTAGTAGTGTAGTGTGTAGTGTGTAGTAGTGTAGTGTGTAGTAGTGTATAGTGTAGTGTATAGTAGTGTAGTGTATAGTAGTGTAGTGTGTAGTAGTGCAGTGTGTAGTAGTGCAGTGTGTAGTAGTGTAGTGTGTAGTAGTGTAGTGTGTAGTAGTGTATAGTGTAGTGTATAGTAGTGTAGTGCATAGTAGTGTAGTGTGTAGTAGTGCAGTGTGTAGTAGTGTAGTGTGTAGTAGTGTAGTGTGTAGTAGTGTAGTGTGTAGTAGTGTATAGTGTAGTGTATAGTAGTGTAGTGTATAGTAGTGTAGTGTGTAGTAGTGCAGTGTGTAGTAGTGTAGTGTGTAGTAGTGTAGTGTGTAGTAGTGTAGTAGTGTAGTGTATAGTAGTGTAGTGTATAGTAGTGTATAGTAGTGTAGTAGTGTGGTGTATAGTAGTGTAGTGTATAGTAGTGTAGTGTGTAGTAGTGTAGTGTATAGTAGTGTAGTGTGAAGTAGTGTAGTGTATAGTAGTGTAGTGTATAGTAGTGTGGTGTAAAGTAGTGTAGTGTGTAGTAGTGTAGTGTATAGTAGTGTAGTGTGTAGTGTATAGTAGTGTGGCGTATAGTAGTGTATAGTAGTGTAGTGTATAGTAGTGTAGTGTATAGTAGTGTAGTGTATAGTGGTGTGTGTATGGTAGTGTAGTGTGTGGTAGTTTGTAGTAGTGTAGTGTGTAGTAGTGTAGTGTGTAGTAGTGTAGTGTGTAGTAGTGTAGTGTGTAGTAGTGTAGTGTATAGTAGTGTAGTGTATAGTAGTGTAGTGTGTAGTAGTGTAGTGTGTAGTAGTGTGGTGTATAGTAGTGTGGTGTATAGTAGTGTAGTGTATAGTTGCGTAGTGTATAGTAGTGTAGTGTATAGTAGTGTAGTGTGTAGTGGTGTAGTGTGTAGTGGTGTAGTGTATAGTGGTGTAGTGTATAGTAGTGTAGTGTATCGTAGTGTAGTGTATAGTAGTGTAGTGTGTAGTAGTGTAGTGTGTAGTAGTGCAGTGTGTAGTAGTGTAGTGTGTAGTAGTGTAGTGTGTAGTAGTGTAGTGTGTAGTAGTGTAGTGTATAGTGGTGTAGTGTATAGTAGTGTAGTGTGTAGTGTATAGTAGTGTAGTGTATAGTAGTGTAGTGTATAGTGTAATGTATAATAGTGTAGTGTATAGTAGTGTAGTTTATAGTGTAATGTATAATAGTGTAGTGTATAGTAGTGTAGTGTATAGTAGTGTAGTGTATAGTGGTGTAGTGTATAGTAGTGTAGTGTGTAGTAGTGTATAGTAGTGCAGTGTATAGTAGTGTATTGTATAGTAGTGTAGTGTATAGTAGTGTAGTGTATCGTAGTGTATCGTAGTGTAGTGTATAGTAGTGTAGTGTATAGTAGTGTAGTGTATAGTAGTGTAGTTTATAGTGGTGTAGTGTATAGTAGTGTAGTGTATAGTAGTGTAGTTTATAGTGGTGTAGTGTATAGTAGTGTAGTGGATTGTAGTGTAGTGAATAGTAGTGTAGTGTATAGAGTGAGGTGAGTGGCGAGTGAGGTGAGTGGCGAGTGAGGCGAGTGGAGAGGTGAGTGGTGAGTGATGTGAATGGTGAGTGGCGAGTGAGGTGGGTGGCGAGTGTGGTGAGTGGTGAGTGAGGTGAGTGGTGAGTGAGGTGAGTGGCGAGTGTGGTGAGTGGTGAGTGTGGTGAGTGGTGAGTGGCGAGGTGAGTGGTGAGTGAGGTGAGAAGACATCTCTACCTCCTGTTTCTTCTTCTGAGCTCTCTCCTCCTCCTCTCGTTTCGATTTCTTGAGAGCATCTTGACCGACGACAGACAGGATGTTCCGCAGCCTACGCTCAAAGACAAAGGTCCCCCCTGTAGCCTTAACAGACTGTTGGGGCAAGTGCTGTTCGCGAGTAGGTAGCAGCACCTATGAGGGCTGGCACGGCACACGAGGGGGTGGGTGGCCAGCACCACACGCCCGGCCGCCTTTGTCTCCCGAGTAGCAATGTTTACACACCGTACCAGTTAACTCATTTGAGGCTGAGTCGACCTAGGGGAGCCCCAGGACCGGTTCAGATCATCGCCACTGGGTGTTGTCAGTGAGCGGGCATCGAACTCCGGTCGCCGGGTTCGTAGCGCGGCGCGCTAACCGCTGCACCACCACACCCCACAAAACTACCACCATCGCCACCGCAATCGCCGTCGCCACCACCACCACCACCATCATCATCATCGTCACAGCCATCGTCCTCAACAGCGGCTTCGTCGCCATCAACGGCATCAATCTCATCGCCATCATCAACAGCACAAGCTGCAGCGCAGCGAGCCTACACTGCTAGCGCAGTGTAAACACTTGTGCAGCAACGCTGGCAGCGCTGCAGTGCATAAGGTAGTGCGGTGCATGTGAATCTCTACCGCGGTAGTGGTGCAGTGCGGCGTGCATACATACACTCGCAGTGCAGTGCACCGTGGACTGCTCGTGCGTTGCATGCGTTGTATGGAGCGACAGAGCCGCTGGTGCTCCCCCACCCACCCCTCCCCTTCCCGCACCTCTCTCTGCGCTCGGCGGGCCCCTCCCCAAAGAGCGAGGCGGGCTCCGTCAGCTTGCGCAGCGCCGCCTTCACCTCGGCGTCGTCGGTGGACACGTTGATGAGCCGCGCGCGCTTGCGCCGCTCAAACTCCGCCAGCATCTCGGCCTGGCGCGACGTCACGCCGCCGGGACCGCCGCCGGCCTCCACCGGCATCGACTCCCCTGGGTCACGGCACGCGGAGGAGGAGGAGGTGGTTGTGGTGGTGGTTGTGGTGGTGGTTGTGGTGGTGGTGGTGGTTGTGGTGGTGGTGGTGGTGGAAACCGAAGCGGGTAGGGATTGGGGCAGGGGTGGGCACATTTTTTGACTCGCGGGCCACAATGGGTACTAAAATTTGACAGAGAGGCCGGGCCAGGAACAGATGGATGGAGCGTTTGTGTGAACTAATGTAAATGATGTGTTAAAAATCATTACATTAAAGGATTTGGCCTTTAACAGTTAGCAAAGCGTTTATTTGCAAGGCAATTTGACGATTTGCACGAACTATGAACAATACAGAAACCATGTCGTAACTCCCGGTCAAAGTGCGCCATCTAATGGGGAAATGGGGGGCATTACAGGAGAAAGGTAAAATTTAATTCAATAATAATAATATTAATATTTGGACAAGTTCGGTGGGCCGGATTAAAAAGTCCAACGGGCCGTATACGGCCCGGGGGCCGTGCTCTGCCCATGTCTGGGTTAGGGGATTGGTGGGGCCCACCCCTGAGTCCGTGGCTCACGAGGTCAGAGGCACGGAGCCGGATCCGTTGCCGAGAGCCCTGGGATTCCAGTCCGGGTTTCAGCAGCCGCCCCCAGCCACAGCAACGATAACAGAGGTGGGGCCGGGGGTCTCTTGTGCAGTGAGTCGATGGTCTCGGCACGGTCATCAGTGACTCGCATAGACACCCAGAGACTCACATAGAGACCCAACGACTCACACAGAGACCCAAAGATGATGCTGGTGATAGTGATGGTGGACAAGGGCAATGTTAACACCGCAGATGTTGATGCTGCGGGTCATCGTGATGTTGCTGATGCCGCTGCTGCTGATGATGATGATGATAGCGATATTGATGAATATTAGTGATATTGATGAATATTAGTGATGTTGGCGACAGTGACGATGATGGTGTTGGCCATGCAATGCTGGCGATGTTCCCGCTGGGGATGCTGACGTTTGCGGGCAATAGTGACGGTGTGATAGCGACGATCGTGATAGTGATCACGACGACGACGACGACGATGTTGCCGATGTTGCCGATGTTACCGCTGGAGATGTTGATGTTGCCCGCCTCGATGGCCGCTTTGATGGCATCGGGGGCTCGTGCCAGACGCTCGTGCGTGCGTTCTGCGGCGCTGTGGTGCGCGCGACCCGACCTCGCTCCCTCCTCCCTCGACATCCTGCCGATTATAGTGACACCGCCGATGCTGTTGAAACGATGATACTGCTGCTGGTGCGACTGCTATAGAGATGGTACCGCCGTTGCTATGACGATGACGCCGCTGCTGCTCCTGCTACGATACCGACCGCTATAACGTCGGTACTGTTGCTATGACGATGACACTTGCTGCTGCTCTTGCTATGATGATACTGCTGCTGCTGCTGTGACTCCGATAGCAATGACAGTACTGTTGCTCTGACGATGACACTTGCTGTTCATATTGCTACGATTATGATACCACCGTTAGCTCACGATGATGACATTGCTGCCGCTGTTTCCAGAATCAGAATATTTATTTATACTGGAGGAATCCGATGAGCTATAAAGCTCTTTTTCACAAATGTTCAGTAGGGGCAAGGGGTTAAGAACGTAACAACAATACAAAACACGATAGGCGTTCAAATTACAACGTAAACAAATCGCCCAAACACACACGAATACAACACTAAACCGTCTCCATACTACGAGTTAAAGGACACCGAGGTATTCACTGATTTTTCAAAAGCGACCTGCCCCACCACAAAGTGGCTTCATCATTTGGACATTTATCGCAAGCAAAATCATCCAAATACAGCTAGTCCCTGACTTACGATGGTCCGACTTACGATATTTCGACCTTACGATAGCGATATGACAAAATTGTAAAAAAAATATTAAATTCGCGCGGCAGGCAAACGCAGCAGCGTGCTACGAGGTCCGATACTGTAACTTGATCATCGCCATCAAACTAAGTTAATGTGGTCATCAACAACCTTAACATCGTTCAAGTATGCAGACGACGGACAGAATCTTGGTGAGTACAGTAGAATATGACACGTTACGATACGTTCAATGCGTGTATGATACGTAGCTTTAGCGATTTCATTTGAGGGTAACCACGATGCGATACATACGTTCAATGCATGTTGAAAGTTTTTTTATAGCAGATAGGATTGTTTCCTGAAAAAAAACTTTCTATAAAATTGCAGTTCATATAGGTAGGCTAAGAATTCACCTTGGTTTTTTTCTTTAAATTTTACCGTGCAATACAGTATTGTAATTAATACACACAGTATATAGTACAGGTCCCTGCAGGGTGGGCTGGTAGGAACATTGGAATTTTGCCCAATTTTATTTTTACACCCCAACAGCACGAGATTTCACTTCGTTAAAGTATTAAAAGGGGACGGACGGACGGACACATTAATCATTGCAGGCTCGTACACTCAGTTTACAACTTCGTTCCTACCAGTATTATACAGCACGGTACTGTTAATTGCTCTGTTTTTGCTCAATTATCACCATTCTTTAAGACTCCTGGGTAGGCCAAGGCCATCTTCGACTTACGACGATGGTGCTCGTCGAAACGCATCCCCACCCTAAGTCGGGGACTACCTGGAGTCTGGTGCCGAGACTGCTATGCTGTCAATGCCACAATGATGATGTTATTCATTAAACCAAACAACTCGTCAAGATCATTAGACCTCCTTTGCCAGTACCAAAATGTAATAATAGGGGTTTTTCCCCTTTTTTTCTGGCAACAAAACTGAAACCTTTTTACAAGGATTCAGATGACGCCTTTTGGCCTTTTGGCGTCATCTGGTCGAGCACCAATTGGGTCGAGGCTCAAAAGAAAGCCGTCCCTTGGTGTGGACCAATCAGTTTCAAGGACAATGCATCATATATTATCATAGTGTGTTTTTTGTTTGCATTTTGACTGCAGGCATTGCGGTTAATGCAGTAAACATGAATCCTTGTAAAAAAAAGGTTTCAAGTTTGTTGCCAGAAAAAAGGGGAAAAACCCCTATTATTATTATAACTCGTAAAAAGTTGTAAGAGCCCAGGGGGGTGGTGGCTCAGTTAGCGCGGCACGACCTGGCATTCACACCGCAGTCGGCCAAACCCATGGGCACCTGGCTGGGACTGTTCGGTGACCTCGTGGCAAGCAGCGGAGCCGTCGGACGCTTCACGCGATGGCCTCAGAGTGCACCCAGCCTGGCACAAGCGCCGTGGGGACGTCGCCGCCACTTAGTGTTGTTGTTGTTGTTGTTCCGAGGGGAACATAAAAAGAGGCGACGTTTCGGCCAATGGGCCCTTTCCTCAGTGCAGGCGACTCGTAAAAGTTTGCCTTAGTCTGGCTCTGCGAGTTTTTAAGGAATGTTCATGCCGAACCCCGAATGCGGATGGGTACAAACACGCTGGAGTCAGGCCGTGTGCTCGCATCGCAAGAAGCGAAAGAGTAGGCCAATTACACTGTCGTACAAAACCTGTCAACCCCGCATCAGTGCCCAACTTATTACAGAACAATTCAGACGTTATTTTGTTCACCCCCGTGCCCTTAAAAATCTCAACGTTCATCCTAGGAAGAATACGTGCACCGTATGGGTTGACAGGTATGCACTACCCAGTGTCTCACTACCCAGTGTCTCACTACCCAGTGTATCACCACCAGTGTCTCTGTACCAGTGTCTCACTACCCAGTGTCTCTGTACCAGTGTCTCACCACCCAGTGTCTCTGTACCAGTGTCTCTGTACCTGTGTCTCACCACCAGTGTCTCACCATCAGTGTCTCACTACCCAGTGTCTCACTACCCAGTGTCTCACTACCCAGTGTCTCACTACCCAGTGTCTCTGTACCAGTGTTTCACTACTCAGTGTCTCACTACCCAGTGTCTCACTCCCCAGTGTCTCACTAGCAGTGTCTCACTAGCAGTGTCTCCCTACACAGTGCCTCACTAGCAGTGTCTCACCACCCAGCGTCTCACTACCCAGTATCTCGCCACCCAGTGTTTCACCACCAGTGTCTCTGTACCAGTGTCTCACCTACCAGTGTCTCACCACCCAGTGTCTCTGCACCAGTGTCTCACTACCCAGTGTCTCTGCACCAGTGTCTCACTACCCAGTGTCTCACCACCCAGTGTCTCTGTACCAGTGTCTCTGTACCAGTGTCTCTGTACCAGTGTCTCACTACCCAGTGTCTCACTACCCAGTGTCTCTGTACCAGTGTCTCTGTACCAGTGTCTCTGTACCAGTGTTTCACTACCCAGTGTCTCACTACCCAGTGTCTCACCACCAGTGTCTCACTACCCAGTGTCTCACTACCCAGTGTCTCACTACCCAGTGTCTCACTCCCCAGTGTCTCACTAGCAGTGTCTCCCTACACAGTGTCTCACTGCCAGTGTCTCACTACCCAGTGTCTCACTACCCAGTGTCTCACTAGCAGTGTCTCCCTACACAGTGTCTCACTAGCAGTGTCTCACCACCCAGTGTCTCACTACCCAGTGTCTCACTGCCAGTGTCTCACTACCCAGTGTCTCACCACCCAGTGTCTCACTACCCAGTGTCTCTGCCAGTGTCTCACTACCCAGTGTCTCACCACCCAGTGTCTCACTACCCAGTGTCTCACTGCCAGTGTCTCACCACCCAGTGTCTCACCACCCAGTGTCTCACCACCCAGTGTCTCACTACCCAGTGTCTCACCACCAGTGTCTCTGTACCAGTGTCTCACTACCCAGTGTCTCACTACCCAGTGTCTCACTACCCAGTGGCTCACCACCAGTGTCTCACTACCCAGTGTCTCACTACCCAGTGTCTCTGTACCAGTGTCTCTGTACCAGTGTTTCACTACCCAGTGTCTCACTACCCAGTGTCTCACTACCCAGTGTCTTACCACCAGTCTCTCTGTACCAGTGTCTCACTACCCAGTGTCTCTGTACCAGTGTCTCTGCACCAGTGTCTCACTACCCAGTGTCTCACTACCCAGTGTCTCACCACCAGTGTCTCACTACCCAGTGTCTCACTACCCAGTGTCTCACTCCCCAGTGTCTCACTAGCAGTGTCTCCCTACACAGTGTCTCACTAGCAGTGTCTCACCACCCAGTGTCTTACTACCCAGTGTCTCACTGCCAGTGTCTCACTACCCAGTGTCTCACCACCCAGTGTCTCATCACCCAGTGTCTCACTACCCAGTGTCTCACCACCAGTGTCTCTGTACCAGTGTCTCACTACCCAGTGTCTCACTACCCAGTGTCTCACCACCCAGTGTCTCTCTCCCCAGTGTCTCTCTCCCCAGTGTCTCACCACCCAGTGTCTCTCTCCCCAGTGTCTCACCACCCAGTGTCTCACCACCCAGTGTCTCACCACCCAGTGTCTCACCACCCAGTGTCTCACCACCCAGTGTCTCACCACCCAGTGTCTCTGTACCAGTGTCTCACCACCCAGTGTCTCACCACCCAGTGTCTCACCACCCAGTGTCTCACCACCCAGTGTCTCACCATCCAGTGTCTCACTACCCAGTGTCTCTGTACCAGTGTCTCACCACCCAGTGTCTCGCTACCCAGTGTCTCGCTACCCAGTGTCTCGCTACCCAGTGTCTCACTACCCAGTGTCTCACTCCCCAGTGTCTCACTAGCAGTGTCTCCCTACACAGTGTCTCACTAGCAGTGTCTCACCACCCAGTGTCTCACTGCCAGTGTCTCACTACCCAGTGTCTCACTACCCAGTGTCTCACTACCCAGTGTCTCACCACCCAGTGTCTCACCACCCAGTGTCTCACTACCCAGTGTCTCACCACCAGTGTCTCTGTACCAGTGTCTCACTACCCAGTGTCTCACTACCCAGTGTCTCACTCCCCAGTGTCTCACTAGCAGTGTCTCCCTACACAGTGTCTCACTAGCAGTGTCTCACTCCTCAGTGTCTCACCACCCAGTGTCTCACCACCAGTGTCTCACCACCCAGTGTCTCACTCCCCAGTGTCTCACTACCCAGTGTCTCACTACCAGTGCCTCACCACCCAGTGTCTCACCACCAGTGTCTCACTACCCAGTGTCTCACTAGCAGTGTCTCCCTACACAGTGTCTCACTACCCAGTGTCTCACTACCAGTGCCTCACCACCGAGTGCCTCACCACCCAGTGTCTCACCACCCAGTGTCTCACTACCCAGTGTCTCACCACCAGTGTCTCATCACCCAGTGTCTCACCACCCAGTGTCTCACTACCCAGTGTCTCACCACCAGTGTCTCACTACCCAGTGTCTCACTACCAGTACCTCACTACCCAGTGTCTCACTACCCAGTGTCTCACCACCCAGTGTCTCACCACCCAGTGTCTCACTACCCAGTGTCTCACCACCAGTGTCTCACCACCCAGTGTCTCACCAACCAGTGTCTCACCACCCAGTGTCTCACTACCAGTGCCTCACCACCGAGTGCCTCACCACCGAGTGCCTCACCACCGAGTGCCTCACTACCCAGTGTCTCACCACCAGTGTCTCACTACCAGTGTTTCACCACCCAGTGCCTCACCACCCAGTGTCTCACCTCCCAGTGTCTCACCACCCAGTGTCTCACTACCAGTGTCTCACCACCCAGTGTCTCACCACCCAGTGTCTCACCACCCAGTGTCTCACTACCCAGAGTCTCACTACCCAGTGTCTCACCACCAGTGTCTCACCACCCAGTGTATCACCACCCAGTGTCTAACCACCAGTGCCTCACCACCAGTGTCTCACTACCCAGTGTTTCACTCCCAGTGTCTCACCACCCAGTGTCTCACCACCCAGTGTCTCACCACCCAGTGTCTCACTACAAGACAATAATGTTGTTGTTGTTATTGCCCGTACTGAAACGGCTGTACACGCCGCACAGACCTGACAGCTCCATTTCCCCCTGTACAAAAAAACCGGAGTCAACCCGTGTGGGTTGACTCGCTGTGTGTCTCGTCGCTCGCTGCCTCGAGTGGAGGCACTTGCAGGGGCTGCGCCTTTGGCTACGAGCCGTAAGGGGGGTGGGGGGCAAAGGGGGGAGGGGGGGTGAACTCCGTTGCGATTGAAGCCTGAGAATCCTACGCGAGGCCTGCAAGACTAGGCCCGAGAAGTTGACAATTACAAAAAAAACAAACCCCTCTCTTAATTAAAGCTGGGAATAAATAAGCACCACCGGTCGATGTCACCGGGGATAAACGAGTAAACGACGTTTTACTCGATGCGACTCGTACTATAACGACGACAGAAAACAAACTCACTCGGCCTACGAAGTCGACGCTGCACCGTGAGGAGAATTGGTGGAGGGGAGGGGGGTGGTGCCTAGGGTGGTGGGGGGGGGGGCGGGGCGAATGAATCCGGTTCCGGTTCCGGTTCAGACCCCGAGTTACCCGCCAAAAAAGCGAGCCCGCCGATTGGTTGTTCAAGCACACCGCGTGACTGTGGGGGGACGTCGGTGAGCGGTGGTGGAAGCGGTGAAGCGCTGCGCTGCACAAGTCTCAGGGCGCTACCAATGGGAGAGAGGGAGAGTAGGGAGGGAGAGAGGGAGAGTAGGGAGGGAGAGAGGGAGAGTAGGGAGGGAGAGTAGGGAGAGGAGAGAGTAGGGAGAGTAGGGAGAGGAGAGAGTAGGGAGAGAGGGAGAGTAGGGAGGGAGAGAGGGAGAGTAGGGAGGGAGAGAGGGAGAGTAGGGAGGGAGAGAGGGAGAGTAGGGAGGGAGAGAGGGAGAGTAGGGAGGGAGAGAGGGAGAGAGGGAGAGTAGGGAGGGAGAGAGGGAGAGAGGGAGAGTAGGGAGGGAGGGGTTCCCCTCTCCCTGAGTAAGATGGGCGGTGTCCCCTCCCCCTGAGTAAGATGATTTCAGTTTCAGTTTATTTATTTTGGTATAGCCCTGTGAGCCATTCGACTCTTGAATCGGGTGCAACCACAACACACAAAAAACACGAACAAGAAAACGTCTTAAAGTGACTATGTCACTCGCCTCCGGAGTAAGATGGGGCGTCGCATCCCTTCCCCCCCCCCTGAGTAAGATTGGCGCCGCGTCTCCTCCCCCCTTAGTAAGATAGACGCCGCGTCCCCCCCCACCCCTGAGTAAGATGGAGGACGTGTCCCCCTTCACTTCCCCCCGAGTAAGATGGACGCCGCGTCCCCTTCTCTGCCCCCCGAGTAAGATGGACGCCGCGTCCCCTTCACTTCCCCTCGAGTAAGATGGACACATCGTCCCCTTCACTTCCCCCCCGAGTAAGATGGACACCGCGTCCCCTTCACTTCCCCCAGTAAGATGACGCCGCGTCCCCTTCACTTCCCCCCGAGTAACATGGATGCCGCGTCCCCTTCACTTCCCCCCGAGTAACATGGACGCCACGTTCCCTTCACTTCCCCCCGAGTAAGATGGACACCGCGTCCCCTTCACTTCCCCCCGAGTAAGATGGACGCCACGTTCCCTTCACTTCCCCCCGAGTAAGATGGACGCCACGTTCCCTTCACTCCCCCCCCGAGTAAGATGGACGCCGCGTCCCTTTCACCACTCTCCCCTACCCCTATGCAAGATGGGCGCCGCGTATTCACCGGGCGCACTTTGCAATGGCAACCGACGTGAGCACGCAGGCACGAAAGACAACGACGGAGGCTAAGAAGCCGTGGCGAAAGGTTTTGTACGAGAAGCAAGACTACCCCGACAACTACGTGGACGCGCAGTTCCTAAAGGACTTGACCAAGAACGGTAACGACACACCCCGGCTCCGTCGCCCTGTTTTGTAACGCGCGCGAGGCCTACCACCCCCCCCTAGGCTTTTTACGCTTTTCCTAGCCGCGCTGCCGGGATGGGGCGCGCCCGTCCGCCGGTCGCGAAAATGAATGAAGGGACGTGCGACTTGCGCCCAGCCAGCCTGATGAATCGGAGATAATAAAGGAAGACTTCACGGACATTGGCTTCACGACGATGACAACGACATCGCAATCACGAGAGATTGGTGCCAGAGAGATAGAGAGAGAAGTGGCATATTGGGCCACTACAAGACCGAGAAGGGGAAGGTTGTGTAGTGGTACACCGACGCGCTGTCTGCCCATGGATTCGTGATGCACTATACACTACTATACACTACACTATACACTACCATACACTATACACTACACTATACACTACCATACACTATACACTACACTATACACTACCATACACTATACACTACACTATACACTACCATACACTATACACTACACTATACACTACCATACACTATACACTACACTATACACTACCATACACTATACACTACACTATACACTACACTATACACTACTATACACTACCATACACTATACACTACACTATACACACTACTATACACTACACACTACCATACACTACACTATACACTAGCATACACTATACACTACACTGTTACCATTACTACACTATACACTACTATACACTATACACTACACTGTTACAATTACTACACTATACAGTACACTACTATACACTACACTGTTACCATTACTACACTATACACTACTATACACTATACACTGCACTGTTACCATTACTACACTATACACTACTATACACTATACACTACACTATACTGTTACAATTACTACACTATACACTACACTGTTACAATTACTACACTATACACTACACTATACACTACCATACACTATACACTACACTATACACTACTATACACTACACTATACACTACACTATACACTACACTATACATTACACTATACACTACACACTACACTGTTACAATTACTACACTACACACTACACTATTACACTTACTACACTATACACACTACTATACATTACACTATTACACTTACTACACTATACACACTACTATACATTACACTATTACACTTACTACACTTTACACACTACCATACACTATACACTACAACTATTACACACTACACTATACACACTACTATACATTACACTATTACACTTACTACACTATACACACTACTATACACTACACTATACACACTACTATATACTACACTTACACTACACTTACACAATACACTATACACACTACTATACACAAACTACATACACTGTTACACACTACACTATACACTACACTGTTACACTATACACTACACTATTACACTTACTACATTATACACTTACTACACTATACACACTACTATACACTGCACTATACACTACACTATACACTACACTGTTATTCCGTACACTACACTATACACTACACACTAGCATACAAACTACTAAACACTACTATTATGTGCACTACTTGAGCCATATTGGCACTACGTGAAAACAACGAATGCCAAGTGTTTTGGTTTGGACATGTTTGTTTTGTTGTAGTACGGAGTTAGACTGATGGCCTTAATCTAAGTTGTCTTAAATTTCGATTTAAAGCTTTCGTGACTGCAATGATTCATCTTCTTTGGTTCTTTCGGTAAAGTCACGTAGAATGAGAATAAAATAATAAATTGATAAAATAAAATAACACAATAATATTCTCACGACGTTTCGGCCACAACACAAGCAGCCTTCATCAGGTGAAGGGACGAGACTGTCTGGTAGGACAGCGCTGTCCTACCAGACAGTCTCTTCCCTTCACCTGAGCAGCGCTGTCCTCCATACAGTCTCGTCCCTTCACCTGATGAAGGCTGCTTGTGTTGTGGCCGAAACGTCGTGAGAATATTATTGTGTTATTTTATTTTATCAATTTATTATTTTATTCTCATTCTAAGTTGTCTTGTGGTTGTTGTTGTTGTTTACCAGACAGTCTCGTCCCTTCACCTGACAGCGCTGTCCTACCAGACAGTCTCGTCCCTTCACCTGATGAAGGCTGCTTGTGTTGTGGCCGAAACGTCGTGAGAATATTATTGTGTTATTTTATTTTATCAATTTATTATTTTATTCTCATTCTAAGTTGTCTTGTGGTTGTTGTTGTTGTTTGACTTGCATCCCACTGGGATTTTTTGCACGCAGCGTTGGTGTACGACGCTTTTTCTGGAATATTTTGCTGTTGTTTTCCTGGATTTTCTGTTTTGCACAGTCACACACAGTCACTTTAAGATGTTTTTCTTGTTCATGTTGTAGTTTTTTTTGCTTTGTTTTGCGGTTGCACCCGATTTCAAGAGCCGAGAATGGCTCACGGGGCTATACCAAATCAATGAAAACTGAAACGTGCAGTAGACACCTGCAGGGCTCATCTTCTTTGGTTCTTTCGGTAAAGTCACGTAGAATGGGAATAAAAAAAATAAATGAATAAAATAAAATAAAACAATAAAATTCTCACGACGTTTCGGCCACAACACAAGTGGCCTTGTGGCCTTGTGTTGTGGCCGTAACGTCGTGAGAATTTTATCGTGTTATTTTAGGCCATTTGTGTTGTGGCCGAAACGTCCTGAGAATTTTGTGTTATTTTATTGTGTTATTTTAGGCCACTTGTGTTGTGGCCGAAACGTCGTGAGAATTTTATTGTGTTATTTTATTTTATTAATTTATTATTTTATTCTCATTCTACGTGGTGGTTACTTTACCGAAAGAACCAAAGAAGATGAATCCTTGCAGTCACGAAAGCTTTAAATCGAAACCTACAGGGCTGTTATCTGCCCGTGCATCGTGGTGGTGGTGATGATGATGATGGCTCGCTAACAGCACTTGCCCCAACACTCGTGTTGTAAGACGATAACCGGGGGGGGGGGGGGTCTTTGTCTTTGACAGTCCGGGTTCGACACTACGAATACTGGAGCGTGGTGTACGAATCTGCCATCATAGCCCAACAGCTGTGCAGGTCAGAACCCCTGTCATGTCACTCGCTCTCTCTATCCTGACGCTAGATGCTCAACTATTGTACTGGTGTAGGAGCCTCCTGGTTACTACACCACCAGCCCACAGGGGATTATTGTCTGTGCGTCCGTCCGTCGTGCATCCAAAAATGGGAGGGGTGGGGAGGGGCTGGGTGGGGAGTGGGAGGGGTGGGGAGGGGCTGGGTGGGGAGGGGCTGGGTGGGGAGGGGCTGGGTGGGGAGGGGCTGGGTGGGGAGGGGCTGGGTGAGGCTGGGTGGGGAGTAGGAGGGGTGGGGCTGGGGTGGGGAGGGGCAGGGTGGGGAGGGGCTGGGTGGGGTGGGTGGGGCGGGGTGGGGCTGGGTGGGGAGGGGCTGGGTGGGGAGGGGCTGGGTGGGGAGGGGCTGGGTGGGGAGGGGCTGGGTTGGGAGGGGCTGGGTTGGGAGGGGCTGGTCACCCCGTGGTGTCCTTATAAAACTCAACGTTTCACCTACTCACGCCAGACTTGTGCCCGCCCTCACAGTCGGGCATATTGTGCGGAATGCACCACGTGGTGGTGCCGCCCTTGTTGACCCTGGCCATTGACCGAACAACCCAACGTTCCTACCAGCTCCCTCCCTCCGCAGGAGAATGTGTTTTATTTCACTAGTTTCATTTGACCGGGTAAGGCCCACTGAGCTGTAAAGCAAATTTGTTTAACACACTGTCTTTTAACTCACTCTGTCTATTGTCGTTGTATCCTCAAATCTTGTAACTCAATTGTAACCCACTTCCCATTGTGGTATCGACTACAAAACTTGGTATACTTATGTCATACTGATGACAATGACTATATTCTACCATTAAAAATAAAACATATATATTTAAACATTATTTTTACATGTCATGTTTCGGCTTGGGTCTCATTGTCTACGGTAAACTGACGTTGGCTGTAATTTACCACGGTCCCCTTGCGTTGTGGCAAGCTTCGGGGCCACTTCTTGGAGTCGTGGTGGAGTTCTTCCATTGCTAGTACGGTACATTTCATTAAAGCGTGTTTTAAAAAAACAGTTTTAAAAAAAAATATTACTTATTCGATATAAGTGACCTGGCTGCCACAAATGATAGGTCAACAAATACTCTTAAATAGCACGTTGATGTATTCTACAGACTCATAAGAGATCCACAGAGCCACAACTCATGGAGACCGACAGAGACTCAGAGATTCTTAATAGAACCACAGAGACCCATACCCGCCGAGACCCATACTAAAACTAAATTAGATTAAATTTTTATTTAAAGCTTTCGTGACTGCAGTCATTCATATTCTTAGCTCTTTCGGTAAAGTCACGTTGAAGGGAAACAATAAAATAATAAAATATATATAAAACAATAAAAATTATCACGACGTTTCGACCATAACACAAACGGTCGTCATCAGATGTGAAAAAAACGTATATATTTTATTATTTTATTGTGTCCCTTCAACGTGACTTTACCGAAAGAGCTAAGAATATAAATTAGATTTCGATTTAAAGCTTTCGTGACTGCAAGGATTCATCTTCTTTGGTTATTTCGGTAAAGTCATGTAGAATGTCAAGGAGTGCCTCTGCGGATGTGTATACTTTAACTTAGCTATTTCAATGCTAAATTCTATGCTAATTCCTTTGTCAAGGGGTGCCTTTGCGGATGTGTATGCTTTAACTTTAACACAGCCATTTCTGTGACCAGTCACAAGCTAATCACTCAGCTATTTCAATGCTAAATTCTATGCTAATTCCTTTGTCAAGGCGCTTTGTTTCTTCTCACACAGCTTAAAGGTCGCGATCTCAGCGTGGCTTTCTCACTCCAGCGCTGTCCTCCAGACAGTCTCGTCCCCTTCACCTGATGAAGGCCGCTTGTGTTGTGGCCGAAACGTCGTGAGAATATTATTGTGTTGTTTTATTTTATCAATTTATTATTTTATACTCATTCTACGTGACTTTACCGAAAGAACCAAAGAAAATATAAATTAGGTTAGTCCACACACTTCGCTGCTGTACCGCCTCCTCCTTGACGCCCACCAACAATCAAAAAGGGCGTGAGATGGAACAGATGGAGATTAGTCCACACACTTCGCTGCTGTACCGCCTCCTCCTTGACGCCCACCAACAATCAGAAAGGGCGTGAGATGGAACAGATGGAGATTAGTCCACACACTTTTCTGCTGTACCACCTCCTCCTTGACGCCCACCAACAAGTAGAAAGGGCGTGAGATGGAACAGATTAGTCCACACGTGGACTGTACCACGGCCGTGATTCCCAGGGGGGGGGGGTGTTGGTCTGTACCACAATCGTGATTCCAGGGGGGGTGTTGGTCTGTACCACGGCCGTGATTCACAGGGGGGTGTGTGTTGGTCTGTACCACAATCGTGATTCCCAGGGGGGTGTGTGTTGGTCTGTACCACAATCGTGATTCCCAGGGGGGTGTGTGTTGGTCTGTACCACAATCGTGATTCCAGGGGGGGTGTGTGTGTTGGTCTGTACCACAATCGTGATTCCCAGGGGGGTGTGTGTGTTCTGTACCACAATCGTGATTCCCAGGGGGGTGTGTGTGTTCTGTACCACAATCGTGATTCCCAGGGGGGTGTGTGTTGTTCTGTACCACAATCGTGATTCCCAGGGGGGTGTGTGTTGGTCTGTACCACAATCGTGATTCCCAGGGGGGTGTGTGTTGTTCTGTACCACAATCGTGATTCCCAGGGGGGTGTGTGTTGTTCTGTACCACAATCGTGATTCCCAGGGGGGTGTGTGTGTTGTTCTGTACCACAATCGTGATTCCCAGGGGGGTGTGTGTTGGTCTGTACCACAATCGTGATTCCCAGGGGGGTGTGTGTTGTTCTGTACCACAATCGTGATTCCCATGGGGGTGTGTGTGTTGGTCTGTACCACAATCGTGATTCCCAGGGGGGTGTGTGTGTTGTTCTGTACCACAATCGTGATTACCAGGGGGGTGTGTTGGTCTGTACCACAATCGTGATTCCCAGGGGGGGGTGTGTTGGTCTGTACCACAATCGTGATTCCCAGGGGGGTGTGTGTTGTTCTGTACCACAATCGTGATTCCCAGGGGGGTGTGTGTGTTGTTCTGTACCACAATCGTGATTCCCAGGGGGGGTGTTGGTTGTTCTGTACCACAATCGTGATTCCCAGGGGGGTGTGTGTGTTGTTCTGTACCACAATCGTGATTCCCAGGAGGAGGATGTTGGTCTTGGTCCGTACCACAATCGTGATTCCCAGGGGGGGGGGGGGGGGGGTGTGTTGGCCTGTACCACAATCGTGATTCCCTGGGGGTGTCGGACTGCACCAATAAAACCGTGTTTCCCCCCGGGGGGGGTGTTTTGCAGCGTGTGCGCGCTGGTGCTGGTGTGGTGGCACCTGTCGGAGGGTTCGCTCTCCCCCCTGCTCTGCGTCTGCGTTGGTCTCCTCCTCACCCTCGTCGGCTACGCGCTGCACGAGGCTCTCGGCGGGCGGGGAGGGCGCTCACGTGAGGCTCTGCGAGTTCACCATTATTATTATTGTTATACACATTGCATATATTATTGTTGTTATACACATATTGCATATAATATTATTGTTATACAAATTGCATATATTATTATTGTTATACACATTGCATATGTTATTGTTGTTATACACATTGCATATATTATTGTTGTTATACACATTGCATATGTTATTATTGCTATACACATTGCATATATTATTATTGTTATACACATTGCATATGTTATTATTGTTATACACATTGAATATGTTATTATTATTATACACATTGCATATATTATTATTGTTATACACATTGCATATAATATTATTGCTATACACATTGCATATATTATTATTGTTATACACATTGCATATAATATTATTGCTATACACATTGCATATATTATTATTGTTATACACATTGCATATAATATTATTGCTATACACATTGCATATATTATTATTGTTATACACATTGCATATATTATTATTGTTATACACATTGGATATATTATTATTGTTATACACATTGCATATATTATTATTGTTATCCACATTGCATATGTTGTTATTGTTATACACATTGCATATATTATTATTGTTATACACATTGCATATATTATTATTGTTATACGCATTGCATATATTATTATTGTTATACACATTGGATATATTATAATTGTTATACACATATTGCATGTATTATTATTGCTATACACATTGCATATATTACTATTCACATATTGTATATTGCATATATTATTATATTTATACACATATTGCATATATTATTATAGTTATACACATATTGCATATATTATTATTGTTATACACATCGCATATGTTATTATTGTTATACACATTGCATATATTATTATTGTTATACACATTGCATATGTTATTATTGTTATACACATTGCATATATTATTGTTATACACATTGCATATATTATTATTGCTATACACATTGCATACATTAATATTGCTATACACATTGCATATATTATTGTTATACACAATGCATATATTATTATACACATTGCATATATTGTTATTGTTATACACATTGCATACGTTATTATTGTTATACACATTGCATATATTAATATTGCTATACACATTGCATATATTATTGTTATACACATTGGATATATTATAATTGTTATACACATTGCATATATTATTATTGTTATACACATTGCATATATTATTATTGTTATACACATTGCATATATTATTATTGTTATACACATATTGCATGTATTATTATTGCTATACACATTGCATATATTACTATTGCTATACACATATTGCATATATTATAGTTATACACATATTGCATATATTATTATAGTTATACACATATTGCATATATTATTATTGTTATACACATATTGCATATATTATTATTGTTATACACAGCGCATATGTTATTATTGTTATACACATTGCATATATTATTATTGCTATACACATATTGCATATATTATTATTGTTATACACATTGCATATATTATTGTTATACACATTGCATATATTATTATTGCTATACACATTGCATACATTATTATTGTTATACACATTGCATATATTATTATTGTTATACACATTGCATATATTATTATTGCTACACACATTGCAGACATTATTATTGCTATACACATTGCATATATTATTATTGCTATACACATTGCATATATTATTATTGTTATACACATTGCATATATTATTGTTATACACATTGCATATATTATTGTTATACACATTGGATATATTATTATCGCTATACACATTGCATATATTATTATTGCTGTACACATTGCATATATTATTATTGCTTTACACATTGCATATATTATTATTATTGCTATACACATTGCATGTATTATTACTTTTCGATTTGAAGCTTTCGTGACTGCAAGGATTCATCTTGTTTGGTTCTTTCGGTAAAGTTACGTAGAATGAGAATAAAATAATAAAATAACACAATTACTTTCTCACGACGTTTCGGCCACAACGCAAGCGGCCGTCTTCAGGTGAAAGGTACAGAACTGTCGGGACGACAGAGCTTCAATGAACGATGTTAAGATTCGTAGCGACTTTTAAGCTGGTTGGGAGAAGTGAGGCACCTTGACAAAGGGGTTTACATATCAATAGCTGAGGGATTAGCTTGTGACTGGTCACGGAAATGGCTATGTTAAAGTCAAAACCTACACATCCACAGAGGCAACTAGTAATTTAGCATTGAAATAGCTAAGGGATTAGCTTGTGACTGGTCACAGGAATGGCTATGTTAAAGTCAAAACCTACACATCCACAGAGGCAACTAGTAATTTAGCATTGAAATAGCTAAGGGATTAGCTTCTGCAAATAGCTGAGGGATTAGCTTGTGACTGGTCACGGAAATGGCTATGTTAAAGTCAAAACCTACACATCGACAGAGGCAACTAGTAATTTAGCATTTAAATAGCTAAGGGATTAGCTTGTGACTGGTCACAGAAATAGATGTTAAAGTAAAGGCCTACACATCCACAGAGCTTCAATGAACGCTGTTAAGATTTGTAGCGACTTTTAAGCTGGTTGGGAGAAGTGAGGCACCTTGACAAAGGGGTTTACATATCAAATAGCTGAGGGATTAGCTTGTGACTGGTCACGGAAATGGCTATGTTAAAGTCAAAACCTCCACATCCACAGAGGCAACTAGTAATTTAGCATTGAAATAGCTAAGGGATTAGCTTGTGCAAATAGCTGAGGGATTAGCTTGTGACTGGTCACGGAAATGGCTATGTTAAAGTCAAAACCTACACATCCACAGAGGCAACTAGTAATTTAGCATTTAAATAGCTAAGGGATTATCTTGTGACTGGTCACAGAAATAGATGTTAAAGTAAAGGCCTACACATCCACAGAGCTTCAATGAACGCTGTTAAGATTTGTAGCGACTTTAAGCTGGTTGGGAGAAGTGAGGCACCTTGACAAAGGGGTTTACATATCAAATAGCTGAGGGATTAGCTTGTGACTGGTCACGGAAATGGCTATGTTAAAGTCAAAACCTACACATCCACAGAGGCAACTAGTAATTTAGCATTGAAATAGCTAAGGGATTAACTTGTGACTGGTCACAGAAATAGATGTTAAAGTCAAAGCCTACACATCCACAGAGGCACCTCGTACATGGACGCCAAAGGGGGCTGCAACAAGTCAAATGTCATACAGTAAAGCGATGTGAAAAACCTAATTCTAAATTACATCAATATAATAAATGTACTCAATATATTCTTTAATAAGCTGAGCTATTAACATTTACTGGGTATACACTACACTATATAATGAATATTATATAGTAAACCAATAAAAACTCAAATATAAACTACCTCAATGTTATATCACAATGTAATATGGTGAAAAAACGGGTGGATTCTTACCTTCCACTTCAGCACCACGGACAGCTACGTTCAGACGGACGAGTCCATCCATGGTTGGAGCGGAGGAGGAAGAAGGGGAGAAACAGCTGCGAGGCGCTGTTATACTCCATGTTATAAACCATACCATTGACCTTTCACTGGAAAAAACACCTCTGCGGTAGTCTGTCTACAGGAAAGCTACCCATACAGATGCTTACTTGAAACCGGATTCCCACCACCATCCATCCCAGAAGAACTCACTCATCAAGACTCTATACCATAGAGCCCAATGCATTTCCGACCAGGAACACATTACCAATGAACTCAAGCACGTACACCAGGCTCTCAGAGCTAATGGTTACTCCGACTACACAATCCGCAAAGCCATCACTCCAGTCAGGAAGAAGGATCCTCTTGTGGAGCCACTCAAAACCATCACCTTACCCTACATTGCAGGGGTCACTAAAAAGATCTCCAAAATCCTGAATAAACACAAGATCCAGGTCCGATTCAACACAGTACATAAAATCCGTGATCTGGTTCCATCTGTAAAATATGCTGTTCCAGACATACAGTACCCGGGCGTTTATAAACTAAAGTGCCTCTGTGGTAGTAGCTACATTGGAGAAACCAAACGACATATCTCGGACCGCATCCGCGAACATAAAGCAGACTTGAAACACGGTAGAACGAACTCCTCTGCTTTGGCAGATCACTGTTATAATTCAGTGGGTTCACATGACATTGACTTCTCCAAGACAGAGGTTCTTTGCAAACCAACCGGCTACCATGAGAGATTCGTTCATGAGGCCATCCACATATACAAACACAGAGACAATTTCAACCGAGAAGATGGATTCTGGCTTAGTAACCATTGGAAATATGTTTTAAACCATTTCGGTTCTTAATTAATTGTATTTTACGAGGACCTTCAGACTACAGCTCTTTCGCTGGCACTGACTCTTAATACCTCTCACACCACGGTTAATGGTATGGTTTACAACATGGAGTATAACAGCACCTCGCAGCTGTTTCTCCCCTTCTTCCTCCTCCGCTCCAACCATGGATGGACTCGTCCGTCTGAACGTAGCTGTCCGTGGTTCTGAAGTGGAAGGTAAGAATCCACCCGTTTTTTCACCATATTACATTGTGATATAACATTGAGGTAGTTTATATTTTAGTTTTTATTGGTTTACTATATGATATTCATTATATAGTGTAGTGTATACCCAGTTAATGTTAATAGCTCAGCTTATTGAAGAATATATTGGGTACATTTATTATATTGATGTAATTTAGAATTAGGTTTTTCACATCGCTTTACTGTATGACAGTTGAGTTGTTGCAGCCCCCTTTGGCGTCCATGTACGAGGTGCCTCTGTGGATGTGTAGGCTTTGACTTTTACATCTATTTCTGTGACCAGTCACAAGCTAATCCCTTAGCTATTTCAATGTTAAATTACTAGTTGCCTCTGTGGATGTGTAGGTTTTGACTTTAACATAGCCATTTCCGTGACCAGTCACAAGCTAATCCCTCAGCTATTGATATGTAAACCCCTTTGTCAAGGTGCCTCACTTCTCCCAACCAGCTTTA